TATATGAGACAACCTGAATAGCTTACCATTCGATTATACAGCTCAGCAGATGCGAAGAATAATGTTAAGTAAAAAATAAGTATTGTTCATAAAATATATACCAAGTACAGTGCGCGGTAAAATGTATGAGTATGTATTTGAAATAACGGATACTAGGAGGGTTTGAGAAACAATTTCTGCAACATTGATTTCATTTTCTGTAGACACAAAATTCGTAATAATGTTTTCTAGGTGAATTTAAAATAATGCATGGGGTGTGGCATTAAATGAGATTGCAGATTTCATTTTCACATAAATGCGGATCACACAGTGAATTTTTAGTTCAAATAATGCGTCTTCAGAAACTGAAATCGACTTGTCCGAGTTTTTTTGCAAATCATCATAGCATCGGAAGTTTCGGAATAATCCCATTTTTTGCTGCATACTGTATAAAAAAATACCTTATAATTGAAATGTTGCATTTGGAATTTCAGTGATGTTGAAGCAGATGAATTTACGTTGATATCGTTACTTTACCTATAAAAAAATGGTGTATTGGTATGAACATAAGAGACAAAAATATGATAATAGTGGAAAAAGTGATTCAATTAAAGCTAAGCAATATAAACCTCTCTGGATTAACTAAATTCGAGGAGTAACTTTTCAATGACAATGTATTTTACTATGGAATTATGAATTCCATGTAATTTTTTCTTTTGAATTATAGGAAGTTGTTTATTGAATTTCAAGTAGTTGTTAATAATTGGGGAATGAACTGTAAAGAAGCTGTGATTTTTTAGTATGAAGAAGAGAGATTTTTATAATTTTTCAAGAGTATTTTTTATTATCAAGTATCTAATGTTATATGTAATGAATTATTATTTTCATAAACATTTCAAATTTTTTATCATCTAGGATGACATGTATATTTGGGCATATCTAATAAAACAGACTGAGTGAAAATATAATAATGTTTTTCTGATATTTCATAGCTAGTTGTTGAAAAATAATTGACTCCTTTTTGGCAATCCTGTATTGTCTGAAGAACATCGACCGATTTACTTGCGATTTTCAGTATAAGATGTGCTATTTTTCGACTACATCTACAGCTACAGTAATGTGAGACAATCAACACAACGAAACTTACACAGGGTGTGAAATGGTACTAGTACATTATGGTCTATGTTTGCGATGCTATGTGGCCTCAGATTTTTTTCTCTGATTAATCAACTCCTACACGGACACACGGAAAACGCTATTTGACGACGACGTGAGTCATTTTGATTTAGTAGCTGTTTGCGACTGATGTCACTTCACTCCAATTTCTGTCGTGTCAAGTTTGATTGATGAGTATGGTACTCGCGTAAATTAGCAAAATGAGCTGTTTTAGGAAAATTTTGTCTGAAAAAAAAAACGAAAATATGAGAAAATCAATTCCGCAAACTATCAGTTATACGGAATCATCAATAGAGGTAATCATTATTGTTGTTTATTTGTATATTGTCGTTGATTTATCTTGCCGAAATACACTCGTTTTTTTGATTGGATAAATTTCCTTACTAACTCAAACATTTTCTATCAGTTATTTTTCTCGAAAAACTGACATCAGACAGAATTCCTCGACCTACGGTCTCGCAATCTTTTCATGTCAGTTTTTCTCTTAAAATTACTGATCGACAAATGTTTTCCGTTACGAAGAGAAATTTATCCGATAAAATAAAGCTCATGTGTTTTCACTGTTGATGAAAAATCAGTCACGTGCGACTTCATCTCGGAACGTTCTTGAAATTGCTCCCCAATTTGAAATTGGATGAGCCGGATCGACTGATTCCCCGAAAATTTCATTTGTATCATACACTTTGTCCGTTAAGTATGGAACAAATTCGATATTTCCTAAACTAAAAGCTTTTTCAAAAATATCTGGAATACGTCAGCTACATTTTCGAGGGGGACATCGTTCTAAAATATTTTCAGCCCTGCGGCGTTGCCTCTTCTAACGAAAAGAAGCAACAGCTTTGTTATTTCAAATGGAACACCTTGTATTTTATTGCATTTTTAGATTCTCCCCGAAGAGCTGATTTCATCAATGCATCACCCTTGGGGTCTAGCTGTAATGGTTTCAGGGATATAAAGTGTTCAAAATCGAGATTTTTCAACTTTAGCATTTTTTTGGTGTCGAAACTATTCATTATTGGTCAAAACGACTTTCATGTCCCTATCTCAACTTGTGATTTACTATCTACTAACATTTAATTGAAACAGATACAGGGTAATCAGAATTCTGAATCTTGAACCACCCTGTATTGGTTTCAAATAAATGTCAGTAGATAGTAAATCACAAGTTAAGATAGGAACATGAAAGCCGTTTTGACCAATCGACGCGTCCATGCCAAAACGGCACAAACGCCAAAATGGTCACTTCTCACTTTTTGGTACTCAATAATAGGTATTCACATGCTGCATCCAATGGTTAAAACGGCATATATTCGTAAATTCTTTTTTCTGTCTTTTTTTGTATTTTAAATTTGCTCAAGCGCCAATTCGACCATATTCAATGAGAATCAAACGGCACAAAAGCCAGTTACCCATAAGCATTCAATGGGGTGAGGTGTTTCGCTTGTGAGATCACAGTAAGTAATATTTGATTCATATGGAAGTTGATTACATTACTTCGTTGAACTATCTGCATGTATTTCTAGTTCAAATGACGTATTTATCACCCAAAATCGTAGTTTTTGAGGAAAAAGTATGAGGCGTTAATGCCAAAACAGTATCATGAGAACTTGTTTGGCATAAATGCCATCGCTTATAGCGAATCACATGCATTATCCTTACATCGAAAAAACATGTTTAAATACAATTATTCATAGTTTTTTTATGATTTACTGTAAACCTATCGTCGCTTGATATGTCAGTAGGAAGTTTGATAATCAATTTCAAATAGAACAGCTTCAAAACTGCGATTGATATTTGGCGCTTATACCGTTTCCTTACTTTGCAGATGAACATCTCTAGAAGCAAACAAATTTTGTTGATGGCATTGAAAGAAACTGAAAATCAAGTGGTTTCAAACTGCAATGATGTTTCAACTAACTCTTCAAACTGTGATAACGTTTCGAATGACATTCCGAATTGTGATACCGTTTCAAATGAAATTTCAAATTGTGATAGTATGCTGACAGAAGCATTGAGTAATGATATCATCTTTCGAGAACTGGATAATCAAGTCCAGAAAGATTTTTTCGACAATTCAAATATCATAATGCCTCAACATAATATTGGAGAACTCCCAACTGAGCCACTCAGTACTTCTGTACGAGAAGATTCGGATTATGTGGAAAATGTACTGCTGCAGAAAGTTGCTGTAGAGGAAGTTCCTCATTATTACTTATTATCAGACGATTATGATGGAATATTTTGTAGATCATCATGGTGGCATAAACGACACACATGAGAAATCACACACATCAATTTTAACTTGGCATATCAACTGTATAAGCGGCAATTCGAGCAAAACCTTGAATGTTCGATGACACAAACGCCAGTATCACTTTTGGCATAAACACATTGTACCTAGTGTGGACTGGCACAAACGCCATTTTTTCAATTTTTCATTTATTGCATGAGGGCGAGAATCAGAGTCTTCATCAGACATTCATCAAAAATAATGAAAAAAATCAATTTTTCATTGAAGACATCCAGCAGACTTGTGTGGCAATTACGAATGAAGTTAATCAGTTTTTAGTCTCTCCTGTAAAGTTGACTCGATGGCATTTGTGCCGTTTTGGCATGGACGCGTCGCAATAATGAATAGTTTCGACACAAAAAAATGATCAAGTTGAAAAATCTCGATTTTGAACACTTTATATCCCTGAAACCATTACAGCTGGACCCCAAGTGTGATGCATTGATGAAATCAGCTCTCGCAGAGAATCTAAAAATACAAGGTGTTCCATTTGAAATAACAAAGTTGTTGCTTCTTTTCGTTAGAAGCGGCAACGCCGCAGGGCAGAAAATATTTTAGAACGATGTCTCCCTCGAAAATGTAGCTGACGTGTTTCAGATATTTTTGAAAAGGCTTTTAGTTTTGGAAATATCGAATTTGTTCCATACTTTACGGACACAGTTACATATACAGGGTGATTCAAAAGTAAGCGGCATCCTTTCAGAGGCGTATTCCTTGCATGAAAATAAGGCAAAAAGTTCCTATTGATAAGGATCCGAAAATGCTTCCTAAGGGAGCTACGGCCCTTTGAATAGGACACCTCAAAGACGGTTTTTTCTCTATAACTTTAAAATCCTTCACAACAAATTTTTAAAAATTGGTGTACGGCATAAACATTCGATGGTAAATAGGACTCCGTATTCGAAATAATTTCCAAACGAAATCACAGTAACCTGAATATCCGGAGAAGAAGGGATATTTTTACACTTACCCTCTCCCGCATGTGACGCCCCTGAATGAAATTCTGAAATTTCGAATACGGAGTCCTATTTACCATCGAATGTTTATGCCGTACACCAATTTTTAAAAATTTGTTGTGAAGGATTTTAAAGTTATAGAGAAAAAACCGTCTTTGAGGTGTCCTATTCAAAGGGCCGTAGCTCCCTTAGGAAGCATTTTCGGATCCTTATCAATAGGAACTTTTTGCCTTATTTTCAAGCAAGGAATACGCCTCTGAAAGGATGCCGCTTACTTTTGAATCACCCTGTATACATATACTACAGTAGATAAATTAATTGATTGTAAATTGCCCACTGATTAATCCAGGGTTAATCTTTTGCAAAATTAAGGGCGTAGGTGGTTGATATTTGATTCATAATTGAAACAAATATATGGACAATAATAATCATTCGGAATTTAAAATTAAGTTTTCTCATCATCAATATATTTTTGTGCGCCTGTGTTTGGAGAACTTCAGAAAAAATCTCTAGAAAATATAAATATTTTTCACCCTATATAACTTTTTGAATTCTGACGTTCCTGGAATGTCAAATTTACTTGATCTTCTTGAAAGACCTGGGTCTAAATTGTATAAAGTTTTTTGTGTGAAATAATGCCAGCTAAAATAAAGAATGAGAAAACGAAAAGTTCGGAAGAACAACCATCTAGTGATCTTCTAGAGATATACAGTCCTCTAAAAATAGGGAAAATACTCCCAACATCCAACAAAAAGAAAGAAAACGTTTTTCAGAATTTTCAGGTAATTTTTCGAGACATTTGTCTCGATTTCATGTTCTACGCACAAAACAAATTTTCGCAAAATTCCTCTTGCCAATTTCCAGCCCAAAACTGGAGAATGTTTAGACTACAACATTTCGGAAACGTTCGTAAAATGGAATGTCGGCGACACAAAAATCAATGTGAAAGAAGTCAAAGCCACGTACGTGCCTCTCCCGCCGGATAGTGTGAAAATCGGGAAGAAGAAGAAAGTGAAGTATTCACACGGGGCTCCTCCCCAATGGGAGTTCGTCGACGAAATTTGGAGGAATAAACAGGATGAGCTGCAATTACAAAATAAGAAGAATTTCAAGCAGTTCTTGATTCGAAGGAATCAGAGATGTATGCAACAAGGTATGTATTTTAAAAATTAAGTAAGTAAGTAATTAAGTAAAATTTATTGATTTTCAAAAACCACTGTAAGTGATATAAAACACGTCATAGCTTACATATATTTAATTCACATTTAAAATTGACAAATAGAAAAAATCGTGTATATTATGTGAAAGAAAATATATAATATCTTAGAGTGAAGGTATCTATCTAGGTAGCATAAAATTCTTCGATACTATAAAACATTTTTGACAACAGAAAAGTTTTGAGATGTTTTCTGAATTTGAAGTAAGTAACTTCCTTTGTAATTGTCTCCGGTAGCTTATTGTAAATTCATACACCATTGGAGATGGGTCCCCTGAGAGTTACATTCAAATTATTTCTAGGTGTCTTCAATTAGTCTCAACCTTCAACATTTATTTTACGAAATCAAGAAAGAGGGACATTAAGAGAGGGTGCATGAGATAGAGAGAGAAACAAAGAAAGTGTGAGAGAGATAGAGATAGATAGAATAAAAGATATAATAGGTACCCTTTTTTACAATAGTCCTATATTCTGATGATGTACTGTTTACATGATATAGCCAAGTGGACTAATTTCTTTTATTTCTTAAAAAGAATCATCATTCAACCTACCTCTCAATTTCATATGTTTTTAAATTCTTTCGGTCGATTTTAAGGTCCTAAAACCATCAATAATGCCGCGATAATTTTCAAATGCCAGAAATTTACCGCGATCGACAACCGACGTCACGGTCACGGTAGTTCTGGCAGTAGTGGCAGGCAGAAGCACAGTTGTCATTTGTTGAAATAAGATTAAAAATTTTAGAAATATTCATTTAATAATTCATAAATTCTCAATGGGGTTGTACACACTAGGCGAATTTATGCCACTCACCCTTTATTATTAATCAATTCATATATCTACATTCGTTCAAAAAATGTTGTTATAAGTATTCAGTCCGTAAAATAGTGTTTTGAGGACACATTTGAGAGAATGTTTGACCCCGACTTGAAAATGACTTTCTTCTCATAATCCCCAATGCCTTCTTGAAGCTGGCCCACCCTGTATTAACCAATTAATTCAACTGTACAGTGAACAAAAATTGCTGTTTGTATTTACTCCACGTGAAATGATGTTTTCACACACTTCGAAAAACCTCAACTATTCTTCCAGCGGCGATTCTCCACGATCTCCTGCTACAACGGACTCACCCTGTATAAATTTATCATTTAAAATCCACAGTTGTTCAAAGAAGTTGTTCGACTACGAGAGATTGTTTGATCTGGACATAAAAAGAACACCCTTTTAACATTTTCTCATCCTTTGAAAAACCTCAACTTTTATTCCAGTAGCGATTCTTTATAATTTCATAACCGTCATGGTCGGTCCGGCCTGTTTCCAAGAACTGTCTCCGAAAGAAATCAGAACGGTCGAATGGCTGAGCCTCTAGCCATGCTGACCGTCATCCACACGAAAGCAAAAGATAATCTATGACGAAAGAGACAGTCGCGATCCTTCACATTCTCATAATCTCCAATGTCTTCAAGCTGTTGAAGTCCTGCTACAAATAACTGACTCATCCTGTATCAATCTATCGATCCAACTGTACAGTAAAAAATAATGCTCTCTGTATTTAGTCCGTGTGAAATGGTGTTTTGATGACACACTCCAGATAATGTTGAACCTTGACTTAAAAATAACACTCGTTTCACACACTTCAAAAAACCTCTTTCAGCGGCGATATTCCTCACGAGCTCCTGCTGCAAAAAACTGACTCGCCCTGTATTAATTCATCATTTCGTTTATATTTAATCCGTGAAATAGTGTTTTCATGTCAAATTCGAGAGATTTTTTTGATCTCGACATGAAAAGAACGCCTTTTTCACGTTTTTACAGCCTTTGAAAAACCTCAACTTTCATTCCAGCGGCGATTCTTCACAATCTCATAACCTCCATGGTCGGTCCGGCCTGGTTCCAAGAGCTGTCTCCGAAACAGCTCAGAACAGTCGAACGGCTGAGCCTCTCCATGCTGAGGGACTTCAGGGACGGAACAATCGTCCACACCAACGAGACCATCGCTGATCTGGGTCTGGTGTTGCGACCGAACTCCAAGCACGTCGGGTTGGCCTTGAAGTTGTGTTGCGGTTGCCCGGTGGAGTTTCTTTTGATTCTGTACCAGCTGATCAATCCCAAGAGGAAATCGTATTCAATCAATGACAGGTGAACAAAGTCGTTTTTTTTTTTCTCTTTTCCAACCGTATTAATGTTTTTTTCAAGGTTAGTTTCAACAATTATGGAAATAAGTAGATGGTGCGCGTGCTCGGTCATTTTTACGTATTGAAAAATCACTCGACCGCCTACTAGCATTTCTCTACACTACGTCACATGGAGCGAAAATTGAATATTCTTTTTTCTGCTGGATATGGTGATGCTGCTATTGCTGATGTGAGGAGTGAAAATAATGTGGCAAATGACATTTTTAGGTACGCGGAACATATGGAGAAGTATGTTCATTTCACTATAAATTGCCAGGTGTCATAATTGTGCAATGTCTCCATCTATCCGAAAACAGCCGAAAACATTGTTCCCGGGAGGTCGATAAGAATTTCTGAAACAAAAGCGCATCTGTACGTACACCATCTACTCATTTCCATCATTGTTTTTTTTTTATTTATTTTGATTCGATTTCTCGCCACAAGCCCTAGAACCCTATCTAGAGTTCCTCGACGTGTTTGAGACTTTTGTTTCAACGATTTTGTATAATTATTTAGAGTTACCTACATAACTAACTAACTATAGACTGCCATAAAATCAGAGCACATAGACGAAGAGCTAGCGACCACCAGACTCACGTCATTTTGGTTTGGAGTTTACAAATCTTGAATAGCGGGGCTTTCAAGAGATACCGAGTGTTCAAAGTACAAGAAAATTACTGGCAAAAATGTCATTTCAACAAAGCTGATTTTACCCCTGCCAGACACCTTTAAAAATCGTAAAAATATCGTGTCATTCACGTCATAACAACAAAGCTGAATTTTATATGTTATTAAGAAGGATATTCTAGATCGTCATTCAAATAGCCATACACATCTGATGGGGCGAACATGCCGCCTGAAACCTCTGTACGTCAACCGTTGCACAAGCCAAAACCCATTCGAGTAGAGTTGCTATAGTAAGAAACATAATTATTGATAGCAGAATTTTTTTCATTAATAATAATTATAAGTGTAGATATATGAACATACAAGTGTTGGTACAGAGTTGTTTGACATAGTTCGAAGTTGACGACGATTATATGTGTTGACTGGGCTTGTTGAGTACTAATAGGAGAGCCGGCTGCAGGTTGCTACCGTCAAAGAGAAAACATTGTACTTCATCGAACGGTACCTGTGCCAATCTCTATCCTGAACAAAATGATTAAAAATTACTCTTTCCTCTACGGAAATTTGCACTCGATTTCGCATAAGAATTATGCCATCTGATACCAATTTATCTTCTTTTATTTATTGAATAAATAACTTCCAGACAGAATAGGCACTGGTATAAGGAAGTACATAATTATATACTTATAGGTAAACATTTCATCATTCAAAATATATCAACAACTATAAATTGGCAAACGAAGAATAGTATTTGTAGAAAAAACATAGTGAAATGGCATGAATAACTTCATCCAGTTCGCTCAGAAATAATCAGTTTTTTACTTCATATTTGAATGTACCTATATTTCTGCAAATTTTGATATTGCCAGGTAGTTTATTGTATTCAGTTAAGGCTGGAGTGAATCTTTCTTGTCCGACTAAGGAGCTAGCGGCGTCAAGATGAAACAAGTTATATTGTCTAGTTTCATGATTATGAATTTGAGAATTCCGTATCAAAATGATATTCGACTTCAATTTTTCTAAAGGATACGTATTTGTTATTTCATACAATTGATTGGTTGGTGTATCAAATGGGCGACGATAAAATACTTTTAACGATTTTCTATATAATGTTGATATTTTATTGAAATTATTTTTTGAACAAGATCCTCAAACATTTATTAAATAGTTGATACGACTCAGTATATGAGAGTAGAGAATCATGTTCGCAATTTTAATATCAAGTTTGGGACATCTTCTCAATGCACCAATAATTGGATATATTTTCTTTGTCAAAACATCAATATGTTTTTCCCACTTCAACCTGTCATCAAACCAAATACCAAGATATTTTATCTGGTCAGTTTGTTTTTAGAGTTCAGTTTTTATTTTGAAGTTGAGGTAAATTTTTTGTTTATTTTTTTGGTGAGAAATCATAATTCAGTCTCATTAGTTTTTGTCGATAAAAGGTTAGAGTGGAGCCATTTTTCAAATAATTTCAAGTCTTCATTTATCATATTTTCTAAATTTGAAGGATTCTTGCCTACATATAAAAGTAATGTATCCTCTGCATATATGGTATATTGGCACGCTAGACCAATTTCACAGATATTTTGAACACAAAGTAAATATAGTATAGGTCCTAAAACAGAGCCTTGTGGGACACCCTTATTAATTGATAGTTTATTTGACACAGAGTTGGTTGATTTTGTATTGGTTGTCCTATTTTCAAGATATGAATTCAAAATATTTCTCATAAATCCTCTGAGTCCCATTGTTTCTAAGTTTTCTAAAAGTGTTGTATGATCAACTTTGTCAAAACCCTTTTTGAAATGAATGAAAATAGCTACCACATAATTTCCTGACAAGTCTTTTCTGGATTGATTCTATATCACTTGTAATATTGCTGCTTGTGTTCCACTGTTTTCTTGAAAACCAAATTGATTAGAATCAACGCTATATTTTTTGTGGATGAATTCTACAATGCTTTTCTTGAGAATTTTATCATAATCATCCAAATTCACTGCACGCACAGCGATTCATTTGCTCCTATTATTCCGGACATACTTCCGTCATGTGATAACGAGTTGAGTTGTTCCTATTCCAGGCGTTATATCGGTCTAGATAGTCTGTGTTCTAGATAGTAGTTACATCAGTAGGTCAAACTACCTACATGGATACGAAACAATAAAATCATAAACACATTAGTACATCAGGGTCAAGTTGAATGGCATTAAAAAATGACATTTTGGGGCAAATCATCTGATTTGTCCTTACTGCACGAATATTGAAATAATATTCATATTTTTATTTTATAGAAACGAGGAGAGAAAATCCCGAAAAATCTGGAATAATGAATGTACCACCTCCTCGACTAACCCACAGACAGAATTTAGTAAAAAATTAACTTGTAAAATAAACCAGTTATTTACAGATTGCTGTTGTCTGCTGTTGTACATTTGACCATGACTGAGACTTTGAGAGAATTGCATATTAGGATTCCGTCACCACCTAAACGAAAAAAAACTAAACCCAAAGTTCCGAAAAGAGTCGAGAAGAAAGATTATAAATCACCATATTTGGTGCCATATACCTTCAAAGCGGAACGTCAAAAATGCTCAGGAATTTATGAAAACAAGCACATTCAGTATCCTGAGAGCCCATATTTTTCGTATCTGGATTCGTTGGTAAAAAAATGTTTGGTACATTATTTTTTCATCGGCTATTATGCAATTCTACTTATTCAATACTCGAACTTTAATGTGCAGTTTTTAGAAATAAAATTGTTGAATTGATTTTTCATCAGCTACACAATGAAAAATATCCATTTCACATTTGGAAATTCCCTTGACATTTCTATAATCTCTAATTTTTATAACAATTTTTAGCATTGGGAAATCAAAAATTGTGAAAACATTCTTGACAGTGAATTACCAGACATGGAAGATGCAGGTATGTCTCAACCAAGAATATTCAACTGCATTTGTATGAGGATAGCTCAATCGCTATACTGCAATGTAAACAACTAGAAGGTAACTCCGTAACGTCTGCTTAAGTTTACATGTATGTTAAATGGTCTGTTGAATTCTATAACCCATAAGTATATTAATTCAGTTGAATGAGTCAATCCTCTACAATGAAATATACTCGGATCTCAACCATCTATCTTGAACTACTATCTAGAAAGCTAATGTCATGAGACAAAAGCTCATCACTGTACAAAACTGAACTGTATCCCATGGAGAAAGATGTTTATATCGAATGGGATGGGCTGGGGTGAAGAATGGTATTTAGAGGCTCATGTTGTTTTTGTTCAGGGAATGTGTGGTTGATGGATTGACCTCCTTTTGGCGGACACCCTGTATATATATATATATCATATGTTTATGTATCCCTATTATAAACAAATATGTTTCTTGGAGTAATAAAGAACAACAACAACAACATCTCACCATGGAGCATACTCATTTGGAAACTGTGATATATCCAGGAAACAAGACACACTGAGTCATCTCCACAATGTGTCTTGTTTCCTGAATCATATCAACTCCACTTTTAGATAATATGGACTTCTACCATAGATTAACTGCCATTTTTCTCACTCACTCTGACTCATTTTCAAACATGATGTTTGCGATTATTAACAGAGGTATTTAACCAATCAAAAACGTGTATTTTGAAATGAGTGGAATAATCAATGAAAGCTAGTGAAGTGGACAGTTTGAACCTTAAACCATACTATTATTAAAGATCCAACATGAATAAATTGAGATGGGATAATTTCGTTGCTCTGATCGTCGCTTCCTTTGACACTCTTATTGCTCTTGTTCCAACATGTTCATGGCCTTACTCGGAAGCGTTTTCAGGCGAGTCATTTGGATGAGTGATCCGGGTTGTTAGGATATACTCGTTAGGCAAACAAAATTTTACTATAGAGAAACCGTGTAATGGGTAAGCGTCGTTGCCCCACCTACTCTACTTCAATTCTGACGTTCATAAATTTATTGTCGAATTAAAACAATTCTGAAAGAAAAAGCTAAGAGCGGAACGACTATGATGATGTTGTCACAATGCAAGGTGTGTAACTTAATGAATCTAAACATTCAAAAACACTAACAGTTGTCATACCATTCAGTGATTTTAACTCGATACGAAGCGTATGGCGCAACTTCGCCTTTCTCTTCGTTAAAATTCCTTACCTTTAGGAAAATTATTTTTGCCAGGCGTGTATAACATGTCTAGATAGTAGGTTATGTGGGTGGTCTCAACAGTACATATGCTATACCTTATATAAATTATAGGTGAACGAGAATTGCTTGAGGACATGCAAAATGCCCAGAAATTCTATAATACTATATGTAAAAACGTTGGCACAATCAAATTGTTGAGACCTACGATTAAGAAAACTTGTCAAGATTTCCAAATTTACTCAAATCGATCGAAGAGAGAGAAAGATAAGCTAGTCTTGCCTCCCCTAGCTGAACTCGAAGATACAAGCGAAAAATGTACATGCCTCGAACCTATAAAGGATTCAGATGATGATGATTGTGAGTAGTTGTTCTTTTACTATTTTTTTTTGTTAATATCTGCGTTTGAAAGCATTTATATGAATTGACTGAAGCCGTTGGTGAGATATTATACGTATTTGGACTATTATTGAGAATATCTGCTGGTATACCAGGTGTTATGATACTTTTCATAAACTCTAAGTCGTTTCCAAAATTGTGGGGAAGAGTGTTCACCTCTGTTCGAACATCAACCACTTCACTATGAGATAACATTGACAACTACCTCAGAATGTATCTTCTCTTCTTTAAGACTATAAAACTAGATTGGAGATATGCGATATATACAATATTTCGATTTTTCTAGAACACTATTATGCTATCAAGATACAGAAGTCATTCTTCCGAGCCGATTTACTGTAATAAGTTATATTCTTTCAATCTGAACTAACTGAAATATTTCATTAGAACTGAACTGAATCGTTCTTTCGAATAACGTTCATTATGTATAATGCATGTCAACTGATTCAGTTCAGTTCAAGTGAAATGTCTCAGTTAGTTCAGAATGAAAGAATATCACTTTAGTTATAATTCATTCTCTACAACTCGCAGAGTTGCCAACTATATCAGAATTTACTATTCGCGAAAATCACGAAGTGTGCGGCCTCTGGTGGCTAACTTTACAAGTATTGCGAGTATAAACAGCTATGACAACAAATATGGCGACCATTGTTTCGAGTTTCTGTGTTTTAGTTGAAGATAATTTATTTGTTGAAGTGCATAGTCCAGAACCTCATTTTTCCCTGATGAAAAAACTCGAAATATTGCATGAACTTTTATTGTTTACAATGAAGAAACCAGTACCTACCTTATAATAATATAATATACATTTTCTGAAGCACAATTAGAATCATTGTATAAATGTTGGTTGCAATGATTCGATCTTGAGAATAACTTCAAGTCCTCAGTTGCTGGAGATCCTTGTTTATGTAAATCGATGATATTGTTCATTCTCAACAGCCTCTCCAACCATATTTTCTTTCAAGCCCCTTCACTAGAATTCCATCTCCTTCATAAAAGCCAGTGATATTTCGTGATGAATTCAATTATTCCTTCATACCTATATACCATATTGTTGTAATAGCTGATTGCTTATATGGTTCCATTCCAGTCCATGCAAGTGTTGAGTGGACCATTCCGACCATTCCATATGTTTGAGAACTGTGGAATTGTAGTGTGATATCAATGATGAATACCACCATAGTTCACATCAAAATGGCAATTTCTCTGCACAAAAAGTAATTTTTTCCATACTGGAAACTTTGTACGTATTTCACGAAGTCAACTCATTATTCACTATTTTGCAAAATGATTTCGAAATAACCAATTTGCAATGAGTGTATACGGCAATGTTTTTGTTGTTCATACTCAGTTTGAAATTTGACGTTGATTTGACGTTTAATAGTTTTATTGGTTCGTGATTTTCGCGAATAAGATGTCATTGACTCTCCCAACGCTAGACCATTTACGGTCTCAAATATTATATTTCACACACTTGCATTCCTACAGGCCTCTCTGTGAGGATCGCCACAGCTAAGAAGGATGAATGAACCCTGGAAACCTACGATTCAATTTTTTATATCACTACAATACTTTCATGTACCTATGAAACACTTCAAGTACACTATGCAAAATTTCATCCTTAATCAGAAAAATTCACTTTCAGGCTGCGAACACGATTTCTTTGAAGCATGTGAATGTGAAGACTCATGTTGTTGCAAAGAAAAATCAAAACTGTTCATGTCCTCTCTGTGCCAACGATGCATCGCTCAAAGACAGCACAAAAATGCCAGAAACATCGTGACCGGCGTCACAATAACAAAAGACCAAAACGTCATTCCTATCATTGGTGGAACATTCATAGAAAAAACTTGCGAATGCTTGACGGAGTATAAACTAACGCTGAAGGGGGTAGCAGCCAGGAACAGAATAAAATGTCAGAAGGCTGTGTTTGTTATTGGAGGTGTCGTTCATACTAAAATTGGACCAGTATATTTGATATCAACAGCGCTGGTGAAAAATCACAGAGTTGTGGAAAAGGAAGAACCAACTTGTAGTATGAGGAATTCCAAATGTATTTGTGAAAAACCAGCTGAAGATGAAACTGAAGCCAAGAAGGGCATCCATAGAAGCGATGACAATCTGATTGGCATCACCAAAAAGAAAGCAGTTACTCGAGAAAAAAGAGACTGTGAATGCAGGAAAGAACTGGATAGATTTCTGGAGCACAAATGCACTTGCGAGGAGTGCCAAACTGAAGCATCAAAGCAAACCACCTACATCTTGCAAGGCATCAAAACCATCCAAGAAAAACCCGTGAATATCATAGCTGGTGTGCAAGATCAAAAATGCGATTGCCTCCACAAATACCTAGACACCATCAAAAAAGTGGACGAGTACAGAGATAGAGCCATGGCTAGATACGAGTTGAAGCAGCAAATCACCAAGTATGTGGTAACAGGGGTGACTAATACCCCCGAAGGTCCTGTGTACTCTATCGGGGGAGTCAGATCTCCCGTACAGTGCGTATGCGCCGAAGTCGCCAGACGAAGAAAAGAAGAAGAAGAACATTCCAAACGCATGGCTAGGATGCCTAATACCGGCAGGATCAAATACGAAATTTCTGGCGTCAGACATGGATCGCAGGAAAACACTTTTATAATATCCAAGGCTCTACCTGTGGAACCATGCTCCTGCGAAAAGCTATTTGAACAGTACGAGAACGCGCATAGAAGTTGTTTGGATTATTTCGACGAATATTTGGCACAGATAGCTGCGGAACTTGGAGAGAATGATGGTGAAGAATCCGAGGCTATCGAGGAAGCACCTGTTGCATCTGTTGAAAATCCAGCCGCATTGCCATCTGTCGATGTCAGTGCGCCATTTCAGCCTAGCCTTATGCCAGAAAAACTCAATTCGACTAAATTGGAGTCAGTCGGCAGCAGCTGCTACGGTGTTTCTTCAAGTTCGTCAAGTCAGCCGAATGCAGATGTCAAGAAGTCTTGTGATAATGAATTGGAGGAGGTATCTGAGTGTTGTCAGACGAATTCTGATCCGTCAATTGCTCCTTTGGATAGTTCACCTTTAGCACCCATCAAGTCAGCCGGAAATAAGAGCGAAGTTGAGCTGAAACGTTTTGTTGTGTTGGACAAAATTCCGAGTGACTTTAGGAAACAGATGGCTATTCTCAAGGTAACACAATTGCGAATTCTATAAATATGTGTAAGTGCGATAATAAATTAGCTCTTACATAATTATACGTAATTTTGTAACGTCTTAGTGAACTTTTTTGATATTTTAAGTATTTTAAAAAAGCTTTTCATAAACTAAAGCAAACCCTCAAATGTTGAGTTCACATATTAGTTCCAATCCCAAGCTACTCAACTATGCAGAGGGCTATATGGAATAGGTCATTTATCGTAATTCATAATTCTATTATGCTGGGTTTATAAATTCAATCAAACTAACAATTTAGAATTAACAATTAACAATCAACAATTAATAATCATGAGAGTGTTTATACATATCTGATATTAATTAAGAATTAAAAGTGAAATGTCTTCTAATTAAATATCAAAATGATGTTATAAAGTGATTTTGGTCTCCACAATTCAAGAATCTATAAAAAATATTCCAATTTAATATCACCAAACTCCACTTGAACAATGACAAATCCAATCTTCATGTTCTGTTTCCAGAATTTCCTAATTCTTAGTTGTTAAGTTGAAAGATGGCCAACTTTGTAATTCTTAATTCTTAATTTAAATGACAGATGTAAATGTATAAACCCTCATGGATGTTTCCTTGTATTCAACTTTTTAAGTTTATAGTTGTTAGTTTAATTTTTAGTTTAGTTGAATCTATAAACCCAGCATTACTATTTTTAGGCGTTCATATGCATTTAATTTTCAAGCATCATCAACTTGTTTGACCAATTTGAGGTTATCGATGTGTGCAATGATTGTGATTGAACATATTTTCAGCTACACTCGAATTATCTGCTCAATCTATCATGTTTCAAATGTGCGAGGTGTTCTTTGAACCTTGTTTTCATGGGTCGTCTAGTTTGGCCTAGACCTACCCCTATATACAGGGTGTTTCATAATATATACGCAGGACTTGATGTGATAGCTAAAATATGAAAAAAAGTTTTTATTAATTCACCCTCCAGAATGTACTATTTTCGAGATATAGGAAGTTGAAATTTAAAAAAAATATATCGTTTTTTGCGAATATTTCTGGAACTGTTTATCGCACAGATAACAGCTTTCGTTAGCATCTTCTACTTATAATAAGCTATGTTTTGTGCGATTTTTTTTTCTTTAGGTCATAATTGGTGAAGATTTTGAAGTGTTTTCCTCACCAACTCCTTCGCCACTGGAAAGAGTACAGTTTTGAACATCCCATTTGAACTACCAACAAGACACAATATTTTTGGTCAGAGGCTCTAAATTTAACCGTATCGAGAAAAATCAACTTTTATATTCAAAATCATAGTGAATTTTTTTAAAACTTGCTGCGTGTATTGAAGCTAATCTCGGACATTTCCAACAATTATCAATTTAACTGTATATGATTTGCTATTGTTCTTTTTTTGTTCAATTTTGTAATATGAAGTTGACCTTTGGTTTTGTTACTTGTGCTAAAGTTTAAATAGATGCCTGATTCTTTTCTGAGGAAATCAGAACTTTGAATGCTCCATATTTCATCTGACTGTGGTCAAAAAGAAAAATATATGGAGTGTATAAATTTAATTATTTTTGTTCATTGAGAGATTCAAAAATCTAGCCGTCCTACATTTAGGACATTAGGCACATAGGAGTGACAATTGAAACTGCTTTTTTTTCTGATAATACATGATAAAACACTGTGTGAAGTCCAACGTCAGAATTTGAGCACCTCGTAGTAGTTTTTTGAAAGAACAGGCCCATCGAGTCTGGTCGACATGTAGAATCACTAAATCATCGTCAGTGATATCTTCTATCATTCTCTTATCGTTCTGTCTTTGTTGATTGTCTCCGATACTTCTGTTTCTATCCAATCTTTTATTATCCATTTTTTTCTCAATTACTTTCTTGGATTTCTTCTTCTCTTCCTCTATCATTTTTTTATCTCCAATAATGCCACATCACCCTTTGAAGCTGAACTTTCAACAACACCAACCTGACCTTCATTGTGACAAAAATCCAACTCAAGAACTCAATTGAAGCGCGATGTTCAGATCCTGGTATCTTGGCATCTGTTTTATTGAGAAGTGTTCTCGTCCGAATCGTCATATGTCGACTCAGTAGTTTCGTTGATTGGAGGAAAAATTGTTATATCTTGAATTGCATTCATCTTTTCTTCATCAGAATCTTCTGATATAGCGATTGTTCCATAAAAGGAAAAACATCGATCAAATGAGAAAAGATCATATAGCTGCCCAATGTCCTATACGTAGGACGGCTACAGTCAACCTGAGATATGAAAATCAAATATCATGAATGCTCAAGACAATGATACGGCATATGAAACATATCTTATTTACCTGATCATTAAGACCACTAATTGCATCTGTACAGATCTATAAAAATGAAAAAAATAACTCACAAAGAAGAGCGTACATTCTAATTATCAATTTGCTGAAATATCCCTACTTCAATTCAACATGAATGTTGATTTTCTCAAAAACGGTCATCTTCAGTGCTTATGACCACGAGTGTCTTTCTTGTGTAGAAAACATTGGCCGTCCGAACGGGCGGCTCAAAAATTGTAATTTCTCCAGTGGCTTAGGAGAAAAACATCCAATAAAAAAAATCCGCACAAAACATAGCTTATTATGAGTAGGAAATGCTTACGGAAGCTGTTCCCTGTGCGATAAACGGTTCCAGAGATATTGGCAAAAAACGATTTTATTTTCAAATTTCAACACCCTGTATCTCGAAAATGGTGCATTTTAGAGGGTAAGTTAATAAAAACTTTTTTCATATTTTCGGACGAGCTATCAGATCCGGAAGTCCTGCGCATATATTATGAAACACCCTGTATAAACGTTTTTCCACAATCATTTCATAGTCATGTAATGAGCAGCTCTAAAACTGAGATTTCTTCTTCTCTTCTAGAAAGTTCTATCTAGAATGGCAGTCGATGGATTCCCACTAGCCAAACTACCAGATTGTCACAAACTACCTCATTTCAAATTATGGATGCAACTCCGATGCGGTAAATTTTGGAAACAAAAAGACCGATGTGAGATTTTCACAATGTTCGATATGATCATCGTTTGATTTTCCCTTTTTTTTTTTCATAAAAGCTTATTATGAGAATTTCTCCAAGTTTGGCTCCAAACATACCCAGGTCTGCTACCATGAAGTACCAATACCTAAATTAAATCTGAGTTATGAAGATGCTGCGAAATTTTCTTGGTTCGACGCTAAATTTTGCAGGGAATTGGTGAGTACCTAATTAATTATTCAGACGTCGATGGGTTTCGTTTAAACTGTTCTAATGGTTTTCAGATAAGACAGAAAAACGAAATATATCACCGTGCTGTCAAGCAGCAAAGAATAAACGGTGCTAGAGAACATTTTCCCTTGACCTTTTCGTACGAATTTCCCTGTCCAACGTTCCGAGATTGCTATTTCGCTTATTTTCCGAGCAAAGAAGAAGATATTTTCGTAGGCGGGTCATAAATTCAGACGGTTTCATTTGTAGTATTTTTCCCATTTTCATAGTTATCAATAAAAACGACATTTCGTGTCAGTTTTGTTTATTTACAAACAGTACTATGGAATAAAAAACTTATAAAATACTCTGTGGAATACTGAGAATCGGACTTCTTGAGCTTCTAATACCTTATCTGTTCGGTGCTGGAGCTTGTTTCAATTATCGATCCATTTTCTGTGTCATTTGAAATATTTGTTTCGACTATTTTATTTTCACTTCTTTCTGTGCTGTGCCATAATCCGTAGATGAAATATATCAGTAAACCTAAACAAGGGAAATAGTACATTAATATACTACCTATGTAAATAGGACCGATAAGATGAATTGATTAGTCTCCTAGAAAAAATAATGCCTAGAACAGATTTGGAAGAATTTTCAATCATCACGGTCCATTCTTTGAACCATATTGAAAATGTACCTGGTCATCCACTAATAATGTTCTTTTGTAATATTTCCGTTCTGGAATATTTTTTCAAACTAACATGAACATGACTAAACCCTCCTAAAAGCGATCAAAGTTTCTCATTTAATTTTAAGCGTCTAAAAAGTACACCGTAGCCAAGTTACTTTTTCATTTCTATTTTATGCACGACCGGGCGTAAATTAATACTTAACTGCCCGGTTTTGCGGGTGTAAAGTGGCAATTTTTACCGCTTGCGGACTACTTCATCGCCAGTCTATATGTAACTTTCAATAAGCATTCCTGTATAATTCAAGACAAATTATGTTCTAGTTGTACTGGTTTATATCGCTGATATTTTCGAGATGCTGAAATGATCGAACCCCAAATAAGTTATCTGTGATGCCATTAATTAACAGCAAATACAGGGTGTTCCAGAGTTGTAGTGACTATAATAGTCTACTGGCGGGCCGAAGGACCTAGGTCAATTGTCCTTTGTACTGTATTAGTGCGATGATAGTATAATGCATAACCAGTGATATTTGGCACTTCGCCGCATAGCGGCGACTGCGGATGTGTGATGAGTGCATGCAATACACTTTCCAACGAGTTATACAGTGTGTCCCACTTACCATGCTCACCATGGGTATCTTTTCAACGGTGAGAGATACGAGGTCGGTTAAATGACACCAAATGTGGAGTTTGTCAAGGCCAACTATAATGTGAAAAAATATTTCGATACAATTTATTCGTTTTTGTTTTATACGCAAAAAACAGATTTTGATCATTTTCATGTCTCCTCCGTAACTTCTTTATTTATGAAAATATTCAAATAGGAATTTCACATTCTCATAGCAGTTTTTCAAAGTGATTTCGAAAAAAATATGAAATTTATACCAACTCTTCCAGAATTTGAGATATCAGCACCAACTTTAGTTTTTCAAATGAAGGTCATAGCTCACTATGACCTAGTTTTTTTTCTCTCACAGATGATATGTCGCAGTGATAGTTTTCTGTTGATAACAACGGAGTTATCGTCATTTATACAAAAACAAAAAATTATTTGGAAGCTGCCATCTTGAATTTATAAATTTTAACGAAAAAATCATGATCTCCGACCTCGAAAACCCCCACTTACCAATTTTGAATGGAATCGGACCAAATCTTGCCCGCCATCTTGGAGCAGCCATTTTTTTTTAATTTCAACAAAAATTCCATAACCCTGATTAACTTGAAATTCGTCAGGTGTTCATAATTTCGGTGACAATACATTATGGAATTTTTGTTGAAATAAAAAAAATGGCTGCTCCAAGATGGCGGGCAAGATTTGGTCCGATTCCATTCAAAATTGGTAAGTAGGGGTTTTTGAGGTCGGAGATCATGATTTTTTTGTTAAAATTTATAAATTCAAGATGGCGGCTTCCAAATAATTGTTTGTTCTTGTATAAATGACGATAACTCCGTTGTTATCAACACAAAACTATTACTGCGACATATCATCTGTAAGAGAAAAAAAGTTATTTGTAACTAAGTCATAGTGAGCTATGACCTACATTTGAAAAACTAAAGTTGGTGCTGATATCTCTAATTCTAGAAGAGTTGGAATAAATTTCATATCTTTATCGAAATCACTTTGAAAAACTGCTATGATAATGTGAAATTCCTATTTGAATATTTTCATAAATAAAGAAGTTACGGAAGAGACATAAAAATGATCAAAATCTGTTTTTTGCGTATAAAACAAAAACGAATAGATTTTATATATATGAATATTTTTCCACATTATAGTTGGCCTTGACAAACTCTACATTTGGTGTCATTTAACCGACCTCGTATCTCTCACCGTTAAAAAGATACCCATGGTGAGCATGGTAAGTGGGACACACTGTATACACTATTTTTCCTACGACCATAAATACATAATTTAAAGCACAAATACAATTTCCTAACATTCAATTGTCTTTAATCTAACTTATTATTCGGTGAATAAATAATTATTTCTTTTCGAAAAATAAAAATTGAAAGTGATACGGCTTAGAAATCATATTTTATATTGAATTCGAAGTTTCCCTCCTTGTCGAGAGCTTGCTTGAGAACTTCCATCAGGCACCTCGTAATCACGCAACCAGAAATACAGCAGTGCCGAGCCACGCCGGTGTAGACCCGAGCCACACCAGTATAGAAGGCAATGACAGCATTGACAGCAATGAGGTTATGTCTCGCAGATTATGACAAAATGACAAATACCGAAACCCAAACAACTATTAGTTCTCATATGGCAAAATTTAAACTGACAAAAAATAAATGAACTATAAAGAGATAATTGGACATAGCCCTCAGGAAGAGTTAACTGTAGACACGTGTTTCGCGCTTTTGGCCCTCATCAGGCTATGTCCAATTATCTCTTTCTAGTTTGCTTAAAACAGTTCCCTCAATATTTCTCCCATCTTAAAAAATAAATGTATACACAAAGATAGTAAGTTTTGAAATATGATAATTTAGTATTATAATCATCCATACATCATATGTATAGACCATAGATTAAATGTATAGACCAAACAAAAAGATCACGTGAGCGTGCGGGAATATTGTCACACTGTTCGTTTTCACTTTCGCATTGCTATGGTGTCTCATAGGTGATCGTAGGAGAAGAGATTTATCATTATTATTATTAATAGTATACCCCTTTTTCAAAAAAATTGACTGACTCACTGCAACCATGATGTATTCCTATTGTTCTTGAGAGCTGAAGAGGTATTCACAATGAAAAATAAAATATACCCGTTGTGCATAAAATGTTGTATGTCTTTCGGGAGTAACTTGCATTTATGGACCTTGGCGTGTTAATACTCATACGCTACGGTCCATAAAAGGCTATTTTACGACCGTGATATAAGTAAATAACTATTTTTTAACTATAATATAACCTTCTGTTACTTATCAAATTCAATTTCAACATGAAGGGCTACCTAATTTTGGGTATATGACATGACATAATGACAATATCCTTACCTATTATCATCCAGTACGTATACTTAATCCAAGTATCCTTCTGAATATTCGTCATTAGATAGATATTGGTAAATATACTCATTCCTGGAATCCATGGAATCAATGGAACCTCCAATTCAAAAGATAGTCATAGGAAATTGAGGGGATCATTTCACATTATAAGTATATAGTTGTCAAAATAAGAGAATAAGTTGAAACATAATCTCCAAATGGTTGCATAAAATGTCTGTGTCTCTCTCAGTCATAGACATTTTTATTTAATCAAATATGAAATATAAAGTGTTTTTTTACTAGCGTGCGGGAAAGTGAACTTTCCGCACACATTTTAGTGTTGAAAGAGTAACTTTTTCGCACTAGTGCGGGAAAAACTTCAACACTCAAATGAGTGCGAAAAAGAGGAATTCGAGTTTTTTCCGCACGCTAGTAGAGAGAATACTGTACTCAAGACGTGCTTTAAATGACTTTTCGCATTTGTTAGGTAAACTACTATTTCGACTTCTGATTGTACAGGAAACTTTTTACCTTAATTTTCAGAATTCAAAATCAAAATTTGGAAAAACTCTCGAAAACGTCCATTTAGGATTCGAAGAGGAACTAATTTTCAGCTTTTTTCACCCCCATAGCTCTAATCAGGAAAAGCGGTAGGTAACTGATATGATATGAAACTAGGGAACTTACCGAAAAACTCAAAGTTGTATTCACTGTCGGTTGAAATGATACCAATATCAGGATGGAAACCAACACGAGGATAAGTACTGAACATACTGCTAAAAGCCATGGGGTTCCCTCATACAAGTCATCTTCAAAGGCAGTCATCAGGCCAGACGCAATGAAACAAATAACAACTAAAACAAAACGTATGCGTTAAAAAAATGTTCACTTCGTCCATAACGTAACTCCCCCCCCTATTTGACTTTTGAACGGATAATGAATTTGTTGCTTCAATGGTAGTTCAAGTTCTACATTTTGAGTCTGATTTCTATCAAAATGGCGCCTTGCCTTCAGGTCTAAGTATTAGCCACTTTCTATTTGACTGTAAGGGTAATACCGGAGCTCCAGAGCATGAAAAATAGGCCTGAAAGCGTTATTTTTGTTAGTGCTTGAAGCCCCGGTGCTTCACCGTGCTACACTATCTGAAATTGCCTATCCATCTGGCATTGTCGAATGACGAGCTATTTTTGGTTTTCCTCAAAACCCTTTTTTTATTCTCATGTATCAGAATAGTTTAACTCCCAATTATAACATGCACGGCTCCAGAATCAGACAGTATCAACATAGTTTGGCTATATCTCAAAATCTCCAAAAGATAAACAATAAAAGCACTTTATCAAAACTCCTTCATCCATAGAACGGCAAGGCTCTGGAATTCATTGCCTGACGAAGTATTCCCAACAACATATAATCGCCAGAAGTTCAAAAATAATTCCAATACCTACCTCCTATCCCTATCCTCCCTAGGAACGCACGATTTTCTTTGAACATAATAGGGATTCCATTTCGTGCGCTTCAAGCGATAAAAAGAAATTTGGGAGTAGCTCAAGTGCAACAAACACTGGGCTGCTACGTACACTCGTGTGATCTTCAACTTGGCATCTAGAAACGTTCTCAATTTAGAAAAATGTCAGAAGGGTGCCATTGCCATATATCGTCGACGAAACCGCAAAACCAAGTAACTGACAAAAATTCGAAAATGGGATTCTGGCGGCAATCCGTCTATTATATGGGTGGGGATGCATATGCAAAACCTCACAACTGGTGAAAAATTGTAAATATTTTAAAATCCGTAAATACAAAACCCCTTATCTGAAAAACAAAATGAAAGGGGTCGTCAAAAACAAGTATCTAACAATTGACAACGTGATTCACCGCCTCTGATCTTTTGTGTTCAATTTCTTTTCACAGAGATCAAGCTCTGCTAATTGGTGAGTGACTTTTTATAGAGCAGATATGTAAAACAGTTTATTCTCAACTTCAAACTTCAATTGGTATTTCAACACAGGATGTGAGAATTTATCTCACGTATTTGTTAAGCAGAATAATTGTTGTTGCTTTCGCACAGAAGCAGATGTCAAAACCAAGTATCTTAACGCTGACAAACGTAAACAATGACTTTTTTCAATGATAAATGTACCACCGTAAGGATAATAATAATCAGGTGGTTTGTTACTATTCTTTATTGAAACCGATCAGTTCATCATTTCGAAATAAGGTTTCTTTCTCTGTTACGCGAAAAGTCTGACATTTCATCTCTGTTGACAGGTTATAAAATGAAACTTTTTCTAATTTTGACATGTAATGTGACACTTTTCAAAACTGACGGAAGTTTTGAAACGTCTTACTTTACGTAACCAGTTGCGTAAAGTAAAATTTTACATAACTGGTGATGTAATGTTCATTTCATTCATTCATTTCACACAACAAGAGTCGCAGAACTCATGTAAAACTGGTCATTATTTTTGTTCATGCGAAATGTTTCGTCAAAATTAGAAAAAATATTGTACGTGACACGTTAGGAAACGCCATTTTGTGTAACTCTGTGATGTTGCGGGATCTCGCTTCGCTCGTCCCGCAAAATCCCATCGTTACACAAAACAACGCGTTTCCTAACTGATTACGTAAATATCTATTACATAAAATTACTTTTTTCCCACCTAGACAGGATAGAGAGAAGAGGTAGGTGTTGGAATTTTGAACCTCTGGAGGTTATAAGTTCTTGAGAATACTTCCATTGTCAAAGAATTCCGAAGCTTCGCCGTTCTATAGACGAGCGAGTTTTGGTATAGTGTTTTGTTCGACATATTTCAATGTTAACGACGAAAGGATGTGCTATCTGGGCCTGTCGAGTTCGTCTGACTGGTATTGCTAGTGATGTTGAAAGATAGGTTCATATTTGTATCGTAATCTGAATGAATGAGCACTTGAAGAACCAGCAAAACAATAATTTTGAATAAAAAATCAATTGTTCGGAAATTAACTAGGGGGGGGGTCACTTTTTGGACACAGTGTATATCATCATGACGTCTGTATGGATTTCACTAAAAAGAGATGGACATATATCATACCTACTTAGAACTTACAATAAAGGAGAATTTCCCAAGTTACAACTGTTGAAGATAAAATGGTAGGCTCTGGAGTTTTCCTGTTGATCACTTGTTTGGCCAACTGTTTGAATGAGTATGTTTGTCTGTCCTCATACTTTTTGTCTCTGTCGTCTCTAGAATATCTGTAATGATAGTTTGTTGAGGTTCAGTGAGTTATAGGTGTCTCAGAAACATAATATGTATAAAAAAATACTGTGAACCAATCAAAAAGGTTTCGGATTTTTTTTAATGTACTTTTCCGAAAACTTCAAAAGTAGCTCAGCACACAGAAGACCTCATGCAAATGAACTGAATATTTTTTATCTCTTGGAGCACACGAGACGGAATCCCTATGATGAAAAACATCATACGTATCTTAGTAGAGTTTAAACGGGATCCTATCGTGCTATCCCGTGGGCACTTTGTTGCTAAAATGTAAAACCCATTTTTTATCATTCCTAAGACCTTTGCAATGCAAAATCACTTGGTCGTCCAAAAATCGTAGTAGGAGGGGAGTGGGGGGAGCCTTTTTTAAAAAAAAAGCCAATTTTTTTTTTCATCGGTTTTCAGATCTAAGATTTGAGTTAATTCATTCCTCAAATTTGTATACCCATCCGGATATCAGAAATATTTTTTTTCAATTTATAAAAATACGTCGCAGCATTGTTGTATATGGAGCGCCTTCACACAAAACCGCTTGCCCTGCACACCCATATTTTTAAAATCATTCAACTCGCTCTACCTCGAAAAGTATTGGGTCTAGCAAAAAAAGGTTTTCTATAAACGTTAAAGACCAAACATCAGAGAACATGTTGGGCTCTTTAGAATTTTGATTGGATAATTGGTTCACGAGAAAATTGAATAAATCGAACGGCATGTCGCGATGAACAGCGGCGACCGCAGAGACACGAGGAAGGGCGAGATTGCTATGCCTAAGTCAACCGAAAATCCACTCTACTGATGGTGATGTTGGTACGGTCGATTTTACCGTGACTTCACTGTTTTCTTGTAAATTCGAATGCATTGTTCTGGTAGCGCGGATTCCACTGAGATTACTAGTGATGAGTGATAAAGTTTTTGTCTATAAATCCTATTATTGAAAGCGAATAATAACTTATTGGTAAGTTAACAATATTTAGAACTTACTTAGTGAGTATTAGGTACAGTTACTATTTTTTTGTATCCTCTAGAAATGGATTTAACGAACAGCAGCAGCTCTGACAGTGAAATTGAGTCGAAAATCAAATTAAGACGTGCTTCTTTTCGTAAAACTTACAATGGACAAGACGTTTTTATTCAAAATGTGTGTCTTACTTGTTTGGAAGGAGGAAAGCTGGTTATCTCTCATGAAAAATCAAAAAAAACTTCATTGAATGCACGAAAGAACGTATGACAAATTGTCATGATGACAAATATATTATGCGGCATATATTCTCAAAGTTTGATGATCTAGAAAATCGAAGTTTTTTAAAATGGCACAAAAACTGTTATAAATCGTATACGAGCTCAAAGAATATTGTCTCGTACTAGTCAAAAAATTACAAACTGACAGCTGATTTTCCAGCAGATTTTTGTAGAGCAGATATTTTTCAAAAACGTCCCTTGCGGACACCTTTTTGATTCAAAAAAGTGCGTATTTTGTCAGAAGCGATCACAGTATCAAAAACTAAGCCAAGTTATGACTCATAATATGCAAGAAAAAATAAGAACAATATCACGAAGTGACCCTGTGTTTTTTGCGAGAACTGGAGACAACGACTTAATTGCCTCGGAAATAAAATATCATGCCGCTTGCGTTTCAACAGAATTACGCAATCTCAATGAAAAATCGGTTGGAAATACTTATATTGAAAAAACAGAGAAACTTTTTGAGGAAATGAAGAAGGGTTTGAAAAAAGGTAAAGGATACAGCACAAAATCAATTGGCAAAAGATATCGTGAAATTAGTGGCATTGACGACATGAGTGAGAAACAAATAGTGAAAAAAATTAAATACCATTTTGGGGATGATGTTGAGTCAATAGGGTCTCCTAGACAAAACGAGCCCACAATATTCTTGAAGAAGTTTTCAAAAGAACAGGCAATTGAGCCAATCGTTTAAAAGTTTCAGTTTCTTTTTCATTCTCACTTTCATTGCGGACAATAAGGTCAACAAGGTAGTACAAGCTTTCAGGAATATACTTTTTGTAGTCTCTATATAACATTAATTTTTTAAAAATCGGACTCAGTCGACATCTTCTTCATATCACCTCGGATAGTTTGGCAGATTTTTACTAGAATGTGTTGCTCCGATGCACCAAAACTGAAACTAGGACCGACAGATTCGTCGTGGTTTTGCACGATTGTCTCAATTGACTGTTCTTCCGAAAACTTCTTCAAGAATATTGTGGGCTCGTTTTGCCTAGGAGACCTTACTGACTCAACATCATCCTCAAAATGGTATTTAATTTTTTTACTATTTGTTTCTCACTCATGTCGTCAATGCCACTAATTTCACGATATCTTTTGCCAATTGATTTTGTGCAGTATCCTTTACCTTCTTTCAAACCCTTCTTCATTTCCTCAAAAAGTTTCTCTAATGCTTTATCGTCTGTTTTTTCAATATTAGTATTTCCAACCGATTTTTCATTGAGATTGCGTAATTCTGTTGAAACGCAAGCGGCATGATATTTTATTTCCGAGGCAATTAAGTCGTTGTCTCCAGTTCTCGCAAAAAACACAGGGTTACTTCGTGATATTGTTCTTATTTTTTCTTGCATATTATGAGTCATAACTTGGCTTAGTTTTTGATACTGTGATCGCTTCTGACAAAATACGCACTTTTTTGAATCAAAAAGGTGTCCGCAAGGGACGTTTTTGAAAAATATCTGCTCTACAAAAATCTGCTGGAAAATCAGCTGCCAGTTTGTTATTTTTTGACTTGTACGAGACAATGTTCTTTGAGCTCGTATACGATTTATAACAGTTTCTGTGCCATTTTAAAAAACTTCGATTTTCTAGATCATCAAACTTTGAGAATATATGCCGCATATATTTGTCATCATGACAATTTGTCATACGTTCTTTCGTGCATTCAATGATGAGTTTTTTTTATATTTCATGAGAGATAACCAGCTTTCCTCCTTCCAAACAAATAAGACACACATTTTGAATAAAAACGTCTTGTCCATTGTAAGTTTTACGAAAAGAAGCACGTCTTAATTTGATTTTCGACTCAATTTCACTGTCAGAGCTGCTGCTGTTCGTTAAATCCATTTCTAGAGGATACAAAAAAATACTAACTGTACCTAATACTCACTAAGTAAGTTCTAAATATTGTTAACTTACCAATAAGTTATTATTCGCTTTTAATAATATGATTTATAGACAAGAACTTTATCACTCATCACTAGTAATCTCAGTGGAATCCGCGCTACCAGAACAATGCATTCGAATTTACAAGAAAACAGTGAAGTCACGGTAAAATCGACCGTACCAACATCGCCATCAGTAGAGTGGATTTTCGGTTGACTTAGGCATAGCAATCTCGCCCTTCCCCGTGTCTCTGCGGTCGCCGCTGTTCATCGCGACATGCCATTCGATTTATTTAATTTTCTCGTGAACCAATTATCCAATCAAAATTCTAAAAAGCCCAACATGTTCTCTGATGTTTGGTCTTTAACGTTTATGAAAAACCTTTTTTTGCTAGACCCAATACTTTTCGAGGTAGAGCGAGTTAAATGATTTTAAAAATATGGGTGTGCAGGGCAAGCGGTTTTGTGTGAAGGCGCTCCATATACAACAATGCTGCGACGTATTTTTATAAATTGAAAAAAAATATTTCTGATATCCGGATGGGTGTACAAATTTGAGGAATGAATTATCTCAAATCTTAGATCTGAAAACCGATGAAAAAAAAAATTGGCTTTTTTTTTAAAAAGGCTCCCCCCACTCCCCTCCTACTACGATTTTTGGACGACCAAGTGATTTTGCACTGCAAAGGTCTTAGGAATGATAAAAAATGGGTTTTACATTTTAGCAACAAAGTGCCCACGAAAATCTATTCTAGAAGCCTTTTGCCAGTCTATTTACTCTACTATCTAGAAGGAGGTAGGTATTGGAATTATTTTCGAAATTTCGGAGGTTGTAAGAATATAATTGAAACAATAATCGAACCCACATGGGCAAGAAAATCTAGTTTTTGTCTCCATGAGTCCAAAGTTAATGTTTAGTTATAATATTGTTTCCTCGAAAATGAGGATAGATTGAAAGTAATAAGGAACCAAAAATTTTGTAATTTTGATAAAAATTGGAAAAAATCTACTGAGTGCTATTTTTTCTAAATAACTAACTTGTCCGCCCCTGGAATTTTTGCCCCATTGCAGAAATCTACTATATTTTGTCTGTTTCTTAAGCAACATAAAATGTTTCTTAAAAGAAAATAAATTTTCGGTAATCGTCAATACAACGAACTGTATTTGTTACGATTATTTCATGTGTGAAACAATGTTTTCAACGTTGTATTTTAATTTATTCCGCATTGTTGTTTCAGCGTTGTGCTAACAATATACCAAAGAATTTAGAAATGCTAAAATGGCGTGACCTGTCATCGTACTTATACAGTGTGTCCCACTTACCATGCTCACCATGGGTATCTTTTAAACGGTGATAGATACGAAGTCGGTTAAATGACACCAAATGTGGAGTTTGTCAAGGCCAACTATAATGTGAAAAAATATTTTGATAAAATCTATTCGTTTTTGTTTTATACGCAAAAAACAGATTTTGATCATTTTCATGTCTCCTCCATAACTTCTTTATTCATGAAAATATTCAAATTTGAATTTTACATTCTCATGGCAGTTTTTTGAAGTGATTTCGAAAAAAATATGAAATTTATACCAACTCTTCTAGAATTTGAAATATCAGCACCAACTTTAGTTTTTCAAATGTAGGTCATAGCTCACTATAACTTAGTTACAAATAACTTTTTTTTCTCTTACAGATGATATGTCGCAGTAATGGTTTTGTGTTATGGTCATTTATACAAAAACAACAAATTATTTCGAAGCCGCCATCTTGAATTTATGAATTTTATCAAAAAAATCATGATCTCCGACCTCAAAAACCCCCACTTACCAATTTTGAATGGAATCGGACCAAATCTTGTCCGCCATCAAGGAGCAGCCATTTTTTTTAATTTTGGTTTTTGAGGTCGGAGATCATGATTTTTTTTTAAATTTATAAATCCAAGATGGCGGATTCCAAATAATTTTTGTTTTTGTATAAATGACCATAACTCCGTTGTTATCAACACAAAACTATTACTGCGACATATCATCTGTAAGAGAAAAAAAAGTTATTTGTAACTAAGTTATAGTGAGCTATGACCTACATTTGAAAAACTAAAGTTGGTGCTGATATCTCAAATTCTAGAAGAGTTGGTATAAATTTCATATTTTTTTCGAAATCACTTTGAAAAACTGCCATGGGAATGTGAAATTCTTATTCGAATATTTTTATAAATAAAGAAGTTACGGAGGAGACATGAAGATGATCAAAATCTGTTTTTTGCGTATAAAACAAAAACGAATAGATTTTATCAAAATATTTTTTCACATTATAGTTGGCCTTGACAAACTCCACATTTGGTGTCATTTAACCGACCTCGTATCTCTCACCGTTAAAAAGATACCCATGGTGAGCATGGTAAGTGGGACACACTGTATAAGACTGAATATAAGTGTATCTCCGAAATGCCTGTTATACAAAATTTGTCAAAAACTATTCGATACAAATTAATAGTGAATTCCTATCATGGTATTCGTTTTGGCTACAGTTTAGTGGTATTCCTGACTATGTCAATTTTATGACATCCATAACGGCCTGCTACTGGTAAGTCATTTCGTTTTATTTTTCATCAAACTATACTCATGAGGAAGCGAAATATTAGTATATTGAAGCAGTATAAGTTAAGGTTTAGCCGGACTGCTCTAAATAGAGCATGTTGATAGTTGGCTGAGGCGGTTTTTAAATAAGTATAGTAGCGCACCAATAGACATTTTTTTTTCGATCATCAACACAAACTATAAACCCAACTAACACGTGTATTTTTAAATAAGTAGACTAATCGGAGCAACAGTGTTCTAACGTCAACTATAACCACCTTGGAATAATTTAAAGATTTATTTCATTTATTTTAGTTGTTGGGATTAGTTATTGTGTTAACTGTGGAAAGCGAGATTCAGAAATTTACCTCAGAACCAGAACACATGCTGCCACCATTGAATATGCTAATAAAGTTCCTATTGACATCATCTCAGTGAGTTTTGATAACTCCAATATGCATGCTAAGATACCTGAAAGCAAAAAATGCATTTTATCGGAAGGGTATCTAAATGGAGAGTATTTTTTAATAATCATTATGACAAAAATATCAAATAGTAGGAAAAATACAACGTTGTGGAGACGACTTGGAGTGTTTTTCTTACTATTTGAACTACTTCAGTCCACTTCGAGACATTATGGACTTCTACAGTAGATTAGAAAAAAAAATATGTTGCTAGGACTTCAAGTATATGTCAATGTCAAAATGAATTCACTAAATTCTGCATTATGACATGTTTTTTCCAAAAGGACCCCGCACTTTCCTTATGGAAAATGGCTTTCGGTTAAATTCCCTGAATTTTTGGTATGATGTAGATTTTGACTCCATAAGCAAAAGTGTCCATGGGCACAAAGTAATCGGCTGACTAGTTTTCGAGATACAGGGTGTCAAAGATAAAAAGTGAAGCTTTCTGCTCAGAAAACTCCGAGAATTGACAAAACGCCCATTTATTCATGGAATAACATGCCTGAATGATGCTACAATGTCATCTGGATCTCGTATCCATTGTAATTTCACGTTTTGGGCTCTACAACAGGGTGAACAAAGAAAAATCCAATTCGATTAATTTTAAACGAACCAGGGTAAGTTCTTTCATGAGAATTAAAGATCCAATTGAAGCCTGGACGAACTTTCTCAATCTCGATCGAAGTTTACTGACATTTTCTTTTATATACAGTGTGGTTCAAAAATAGGGGTACCTACGTCAATCCCTAGTTTTTTTAATCGGAAAGAAGAGAGCATGTCATATACAGGGTGATCCATGGTGGGTGGCCTATTAGAAGTATCTGAAGAACGAAAAGACAGAACATTCTGAAAGATGAAATGCTTCGATAATTGAACATTCTCTATCCGCCTAAAATATTTTCATTGATACCGTGTTGCCACTCCTATCAGAAACAACTAGCAACTTCGTTATTTCAAATGGAGCATCCTGTATTTGATTGCATTTTTAGATTTTTCCTGAAGAGCTGATTCCATCAATGTATCACACTTGTTGTCTAGCAGGAATGATTACAGATTATAGGGTGTTCAAAATCGATATTTTTCAATTTCAGGAGTTTTTTGTGTCTAAACTATTCATCATCGATCAAAACGGCTTACATGTCCCTATATTAACTTTCGATTCACTATCTACTGACATTTAATTGGAACAGATACAGGGTGATCAGAATTATTAATCTTGAAGCACCCTGTATTCTTTCCAATTAATTTTCAGTAGATAGTGAATCAAAAGTTAAGATAGGGACATGTAAGCCGTTTTGATCGATAATGAATAGTATCAACACAAAAAATTCCTAAAATTGAAAATTCTCGATTTTGAACACCCTATATCTCTGTAATCATTCCTGCTAGACCATAAGTGTGATGCATTGATGAAATCAGCTCTTCAGAAAGAATCTAAAAATGCAATAAAATACAGGGTGTTCCATTTGAAATAACAAAGTTGCTAGTTGTTTCTGATAGAAGTGGCAACACTGTATCGATGAAAATATTTTAGACGGATAGAGAATGTTCAATTATCGGAGCATACAAATTTTCAGAATGTTCTGTTTTTTCGTTCTCCAGATACTTCTAAGAGGCCATCCACCGTGGATCAGCCTGTATATATCAGACATTCTTCAATGTTGAGAACGTCGCATACTCATTCCATACATATATAGGGTGAGTAATTATAAATTTTAATGGCTACGAGATTCAGATGACATTTTACCATTATTCAGGCATGTTATTCCATGAATAAATGGGCGTTTTGTCAATTCTCGGAGTTGTTAAAAATTCTGAGCAGAAAGCTTCACTTTTCATCTTTGACACCCTGTATCTCGAAAACTAGTCAGTCGATTTCATTGTGCCCATGGACACTTTTGCTTAGGGAATCAAAATCTACATCACATCAAAAATTCAGGGAATTTAACCGAAAGCCATTTCGGGGTCCATGCAAAAACAGTGGCATCTCATGAGAATGAATACAAAAACTCAAGGTATGATTAGGATGAAGGTCGAAAATATCAAAACCGTTCCGAGATATTGAGTTGGAGATTTGAGAAAGATTATTTGCAGGATGGAAAAATGTCTAGGGAATACGGGAGCTGATGAACTTTTTCGATTGTGTAACACTATTTTTGACCACTTATTGATATGCCAAAGCTGAAAAACTTTGATAAGTTTTGATCAATAAATCTTGAGAGAAAAGACACATCTTCTGGACACTGCATCTCGATTGAAAATCAGTCAATTTCCAAAAAAGTTTTTTAGTGGTCCACTTGTTTCTTTGGGTTAATTGTATTTCAGAATAATGAAATGAAATTTGTCAATGGAACAGTTTCATTGGCAATTACCTGATAATATTCCCGCAAACAGTGTACCCATCAAAGGTGTATGAAAATGCGAATTTACTTTTCCCAACGGTTTGAAAATGAGTCCATCATTCGCCATAGCGTAGATTATTCGAGGTAGAGGAAACATTGCCCCCAACAAACTGAAAATAAAATAATTAGCATATTAATGTCGAGATTTGAATCAACAGTGACGAGAGGTTTGGTCATTTTGCAAAACTACAAATGGATCTTCCACTCTGAAAAATTGAAGTTCAGTCATTCGTTTTATTATATGCCTATGGAAGTGATGAAATAAGAGGTTTATTTCATCAATTTTATGGATAGAGGCATCTTTCTCCAGGCATGGTGAACTTGTTGAGTCGATAATAGTAGATTGTTTTATTAGGATCAAAAGTGACACTTTGTTTGGCAAGCGAATTTTCCATTTGCGAGTCTAACAAAGTCACTTTTGATCTGAATGGAACATGCTATTTTTTCTGCAACCGAGAGAATTAACTCAAATAAATATGTGTAGTAACCACCAATGCCGTGCCATATTCTACCTGCATTAACGAATCAGGTTTAATCAATCTTCAAGAATGTTCGAATTGTTGTTTCGATATAAATACAACCACAGAGTGACATATTTGTGTATGGACCAGGTGCTCTAATAGCAAATACCGCGCCAGTGCCAGGGGTATAGGAAAAAGACGTGGAAAATGTTAGTTTAGTGAGAATATCAACAATAATAATAGCGATTATTTATTTCTCTTCTTTCACCACTGTGTTTGGCTAGATAACCGAATGAAGGTATACAATATATCGTTGTTCGAGACAAAAAAACTATTGCTGGCCGTGATTATTATTCAAAATAAACAAGTTATTCATCCTGAGAATAACGAATGAAATACAGATCAAGCAAGTATATGTGAATCTTGAAGGCTTTCCTGATCAAAACAAAAATACTCAACTATAATAAACTGGGCGTCAATTGAAACGTTAATAGTGAAATTTGGCATCAAGTTTGACTTCTCGTAATTTCTAAAATATTGAACGAATTTTGAATTACCGCCCAGATTCTGGATGCCTTTTTCATCGTCTTTCGAACCGTTCCTTACAGCTTCTTCTGAATTGATCAGGACCCATGATACAGGCAGGGGCGGATCCAGACGATGTTTGAGGGGGGGGCCATAGAAAGTCACGGCTCAATAAGGTTAGCACGGAAGAGAAATTATATGACACGAATGCTTTTTCATTATAAAAACTGATCATAGTAAACATCGAAATTATTGGTGTAAAAAAAAATTCCATCAATGTATGTAGAATTCTGTAATACATCATATTGGATAAGAGAAGTGAATGAAAAAATATTTCTGTTGAAAAACTTGGGTGCAAAAGTGAATGAAAATATTTCTCTTCAAAAATAAAACAAATGAAACAGACAAAAATAAAAATATATGAAATAAAGAAAACAAATTCCAGTCTTCTATTCTTCTGCCTAGCTTATCTTTGGATGATATCATCAACATTCAGACTGCTGCAGATGACCCTGTGAATATGCATTAAGGCCAATCCATTTAACCAGTCTTGGACCATTCTGAATCTTATCCAATTTTTCAGCCTTCTGAGTGTTGAAAAACTTCTTTCAGAAGATGCAACACTTACAGGTAGGCAACAAAATAGTTCCAGAAGGATGTTCATGTTAGGAAACAAATGTTTGTTACATTCCTTCAGGGCAGTTATACCATTGTTTGGTATATTTTGTTTAGTATCCCTCATTTTCTTCCATATATACATTTCAGAAACGATCTTCTGGTAGGACACTTCATTATTCTCCCCAAAACTGTTCAAGTATATTTCCCATACCTCATAAATTTCCTCATCTGTTTTGTTTTTAGTTATTGAGATGGCACACAAAGGTGAAGGTTGTATAGATTCAATTCATTTTCTGATATTCCTTCTTTCAGATCAATAATAATACTGGAATGAAAACAGTTATTCTGTGATGGTCATCCACTGAGGAAACCGTATTTGCATGGTCTATGAACCATTCTCCCTGCTATTCTCGGTATCGAAAATTCAACATTCAGTTCTTTCAATTTCTGTTTGGCTGCATTCGAAATACTTAGATAGTAGGTATTAAGAATATCATCCCTTTCATCTGGAAGCGTCGGAAGAGTGATACTAACAACATCGTTAGCTTGTTTTTTGTTTGGAGCAAATTACTAAGTGGCAGTGTTATCGAAAATATATTTGCCAAACAGCAGAGTATAATTACAAATTCGCAATTCCTTGAAGCTGTTGCGAAGTTTCTAGCTATAAAAACATGCACTAATTTTTTCATTTATTCAAAATACCTACATTTTCACATGTCCATGAGGTGCTCGAGGGGGGGGGGGCATGGCCCCATGGCCCCTCCCCTGGATCCGCCCCTGGATACAGGGTGAAACAAAGTTTCGTGCATTTTGAAAAAAAAATTCCCCGCCCCCCCATTTTGTCGGAAGACCACAATGTTTATATTTTATTCGGGCATTTCATAAATTGCAACCATACCTCGGGACGTTTTCGAGTTTTTGCCAAAAACTACTGTGGTTTCCGAAACAAAAAAACATTATTTGCATTTTTTTTAAATGGACCAATTTTAGAGGAGTTCCATGAATGGATACTTTAATGCATTTCAGGAAAGCGTTGGAGCAGATATGTATTTCACGGTACTCAAAAACAATCAATAGGTTATTACTTCACAGTCTATGATAGAAGTTTTCTTCCTTAGTGAGCAGTAAATCAACACATCTCATCAACAAAAACAAACAGCGATACATTATTAATATTTTGTTGGGCCTCCCCTGACCCTCAAGAGTTCAGCCACTCGCCTCGGCATACTGTCCACTAAATTCTGGATATACAATTGGGGAACAGCTTCCCATTCACGCTAAATTGCGTTTGCCAATTCATTAAAATCTTGAATTGATTCCCTTGCCTATTCAACCGTAGCTTAACTCACTCCAAACGTGCTCGATTGAATTCATGTCAGGTGATCGTGCAGCCAAACGTGCTCGATTGGATTCATGTCAGGTGATCGTGCAGGCCACTCCATTCGTTCTATATTTTCCGCTCGAAGAAATTCGAAGATACATCTAGTCCGATGCGGACGTGCATTGTCATCAACCAACATGAACCCATCTCCATAATTCCTTACAAAGGGAACAACAACATCTCTCAAACACCTATCACGATATCTTTCAGCATTCATACTCTCGCCAACTAGCACTACCAATTCCGTTCTTCCATTCCTCATTATGCCACCCCAAACAGTCACACCACCTCCTCCAAATGCCACTATCGCCTCCATATGCTCTTCCCTATACCTCTCACCCGTTTCTCTCCACACTAAAATACGTCCAACCGAATTTTGCAAATTAAAGCGCGACTCATCCACAAACAAACACCTACTCCACTCGGCTACTCCCCAATTACCATGAACTCTGGCCCAATTTCTTCTGGTGGCTCGATGTTGCGGCAACAGCTGTGGACAGGCAGCTCGTCCACGGGCTCGAAGGTTTCTTCCATGGAGACGCCGACGAATGGTTGAACAGAATATATTGATGTTCGTGATGTTCCTTAGTTGACTCGCATTCAAGGTTCTCCGACGATTAACTGTCAGAAGGACATGGTTATCATCCCGACGGCTTGTTGCTCTATTACGTCCACCGCCACGACCGTATCATACTACCGTACATGTATCCTCAAAACGATGAATCAGTCTATTTATTGTCATGACTGACTTATTGGAAATGGTACATGAACGAGTTTGGGTATATCCTTATATAGTCGTAACCTGAACTAATAATTATCTGTACTGAATTATAGTTTATATCACTATAGTGATCTTACCTAATGATATTTTCCATTTCGACCCGATTTAAACGAGTCATCTTTGAATTTTTTAGGAGCCGAATTACACTACAATACGTTGTTATAGAAACAAGGTATCGTTGTTTGTTTTTGTTGATGAGATGTGTTGATTTACTGCTCACTAAGGTAGAAAACTTTTATCATATACTGTAAAGTAATAAATTATTGATTGTTTTTGAGTAACCTGGTATACATATCTGCTACAAACGCTTTCCTGAAATGCATAAAAGCATCCATTTATGGAATTCCTCTGAAATTAGTCCATTTAAAAAAATGCAAAACATTTTTTTTTCGGAAACCACAGTAGTTTTTGGCAAAAACTCGAAAACGTCCCGAGGTATGGTTGCTATTTATGAAATGCCCGAATAAAATATGAGCATCGTGGTCTTCCGACAAAATGGGGGGCGGAGAATTTTTTTTCAAGATGCACGAAACTTTGTCCCACCCTGTATCATGGGTCCTGATCAATTTAGAAGAAGCTGTAAGGAACGGTTCAAAAGACGAAGAAAAAGGCATTCAGAATCTGGGCGGCAATTCAAAATTCGTTCAATATTTTAGAAATTACGAGAAGTCAAACTTGATGCCAGATTTCACTATTAACGTCTCAATTGACGCCCAGTTTATATGGTGTATTTATATCTCCAGGCCAAAACTGCCGAAATCGGAAACAAATCAGGTATGCGTCCCAAACCAAATAACCTCTAGTACACCCTTTTAAGTTCCTATAGGAGCTAAAGTTGAACTTGCCTCTAGCAACACACCTATGTTTGTGTCAGTAATAGAAACGTCAACTTTGGTATTAAAATGGACGACTTTTGTGTCGGTTGCAGAAAAAATCATTTTTAATATTGCTGCCTAATTATGACCAGCATAATGTCACAAAATTGGATGTAGATATGAGTTATCATTTTCTTGAACAACTTCAATTTTTCGGAAGAGTAGGTACCTTTGACATACCACTGGAATTATTTTGGAGAAAGTACCTAGAAAAAAGGGCAGCTATAGCTCCAACACTCACTATGTATTTTATCACTGTCCAATCCAAACGAGTATAGATATAAGCAAGGGGTGCATTCTCATCCTGAAACCAACAAAATTAGTTTTTGAAAACTGCTGAAATGTTTCTGTTTACTTGTTCATAGTATGGCAGCAACATTGTCATAATAGTAGACATTCCGAAATATGCTAAAAATACTATCAAAAGAGATCCCACGACTCCAATAGGAATGGATTTTTGAGGAGTTTTCGCCTCTTCCCCTAAAATAATTTCACAATCATTTGTTCTGTTCTTGTTTAAATTTTCATCATTTACCTGCAGTAGCTATACAATCAAATCCAATGAAACCATAAAAACATCTAGCAGCTCCTTTTACTATCCCCTTTATACCATACGGTATGAATCCTCCATCGCCCATACCCATTGCTTCCTCCTTCGATTTCTGCCAGTTGCCGATATCCACTAAAATACATAAAATTTCGATAATAACTAAATATTATTATACAGACTGTAGTGTAGTAGATATATGATAAAAAATGGTCTCAGGTGGAAATAATTCCCACACATTTTTTTTTTGCTTTTCTCAGTTCAGAATGTATAGAATAACACATATGAGAAAATGTAGAATGATACCTTTGTGCAAAATAAAAATACAGTGTTTCCGATATTCGTTTATTCGTTAATACGTATGAATCATAAACCTAATAAAAATGGCATATTTGGCATGTTACAGAAGTTCATTCATTATCTTCATTTTCCTGGATTGGAATATTGGTATCTTCCCGAACAATTATTGCATAATACTATGCAAAAAATTCCGTATCATTTACATTTGGTTCCACAAGGTTCATCTACTTCAGTTTTGCAAGTACTTCCGTACGTCATCATATGATACAGAAAACCCAAGCTTATGAAGTTCATCGACAAGTAACCGAGATCGAAAATCTCGATGATACTGCACACCAACACCTAGACGAATTGAACTTATGATATAGATCGGGGCCTTGCAGCTTGCATTAGTGCCTGTTCAATTGAATTTTTCTTCAAACTTGAGGATTTCTTGTTGATTATTATATCCAAGAATGTTCTCAAAATGTCGGGTAAAGCTTAGTATTTTCCTGCTCGGAACTTATTTCTTCTGGTGAAGGATAACACTCTAAGGATGTTCTCTTCAACTTGATTAAATTCTTAATCAGTTTAGCTGTTGCTTCAACTATCCGAAATTTTTCTGCATCTGGATCTTCTGAACACTTTTGTCGCTGATAATCACAAACTATATTGGCAATTGTTTCCCCTGTTACGATTATATTAGCTCTACCTTTTTGTCTCAATATCATAATGTCATCCGAAATATTATTCTAATTTTTTATGCATACGACGAACAGTGTAAGGTTCGATATTGTCTGGCAGCAGTTCTGCCATTTTGTCCAGCATCTCCTGAACTGAAATTGGTTCATCATTTTTCTTGAGCCACCTGCATATTTCTGAAAAGGCATCTTCTTTATTTTTATCAGAAGGACGTCCTGCTAACTTTGTCTGTTCATTGGGTATATCATGTTGAAGTTTTCTCAGGAATTGAGTCGCCTTTTCCAAAATTCACACTACATTTCCGATTATACGGAGCATCTGCTGCTGGCAAGTATCGATAACGGAAGAAGACGTGCAAGGATATTTGATGATCAAAAATCGTTTCTTGCATCACACACATCAGTAATAGTTTGTCGAAACGCGAAAGTTCGTACTGGTAAAATTGCAGATTTAATTATTTTCTCAGTTTCCTTGATGAATTGGCTACAAAACAAGCAATTATCTTTGAATGCGAATGTCGGAAGCTCAGATCACAAAGCTCTGTTGCTGCTGCTGCTACTAGTTGATGCTTCTCTATCAGGATCTGATTTAAACCTGAGATCATTCTTCATCTTGTTCGGATTTACGTACAAACGACGACATTCGACGTGAACAATTAGAGGATGAATATAGGCACTGGTTCAAGAGTTCAATTATTCTGTCTTGCTGCTAATTGTTAGCACTTATAATTCCTTAGAGACCTTAAGCAGTCAATTTAACACAATTCAAACTATCATCAGTACTTAACGAAAATAATAAACATTTGTTATCTTCCATCGCCGCTTTTAATTCACTATATTTAGCTGGAAGTGAAGTTTCTTCCTACAGCTTTGGCGAAGGACCAAAATGAAAGGGATCCGTTGGGATATTCAAGAATTTTGATCTTATTTTGGCATTAGGAGCATCCTTCGATGATCGAATTGTCTCATTGCATATGCCTCTAGCCTCGACATATTTTAGTCTCAGGGCCTGGATTTTTTTGCCATCGATGGAATGCTGTCTGTTTGGAAGCGACAGCTCTAGAGCAGTTTCTACAGAACCAGGCCTTATCGGACGGTGTTCTCTTTGCAGTGTTCGGTATGTAGGTTTCCTTCCCCAACATGATGATTTCAGAAATTGCCTCAGCATATCGTGTTGGATAAATATCGTATCGATGCGATTGATAACGAAGTAGACACGAATGACGTTGTTAATTCGCAATTGGTTTTAAAAAATACGGTCCGTTAATTGGGAAGCGTCCATCCAATCGGAACCCAGCGAGCACAAAAACATCTCAGAGATGTTAAAAGTACGAGATTTTGAGACCTTGAACCTTCACTGCGATGTTCTGTTCACATGAATAGAACTATTATAGAACAGCCAATGTCCGCCGCAGGCGGCAATTATCGAGATGTCCTTGATATGTCACAAAACTACCTTCTCCCTAGTTCTTTTCAAAGCCTTTTCATGGACACAACAAAACATTTTCAACGCGTCTTGCGCACATTAAATCGATGTAAAAAAACCATTTTCGAGTTTCTGAAGCCTTTTGTCAAAATGAACTTTTGCATTAGGATTCCATTTCCCTTGAATGAAAAAATGCATTAAAAATAGATTGAACATAAAAATATTTTCTTGATATGAAATTACCTTCTTAATCGGTTTCTGAGTAGTGCTTACTACACACAGACATATAATTGGACAATGCATAATTTTGCAAGTGCGGAGAAGCTGTGTATTGATGAATTCGTACTTTTATATATTGATTATACTTATTAGGCACCGAACAACACATCTTGCATCTGATGGTCATTATTACAAACTAAATAAGTCTTCTAACACAATAAACTTCGCCAAATTCCTTTCTGTTCGTTAGCAGCGTGATGTAAGCGTGACACGCTGCAAACGCGAATGCCAATTGCGAACAAGAAGAACAAAATCGAAAACAAATCGGAATTCATCGTATTGTGACGTAAGTATGAGACGTTGTGGTGGGGCAAAGAAAGAAAGGGCACAAAAGAACAAAAACATTACGCCTCAAAACGCCATCCTCATGCCTACATTTCTAAACCATCCCAAAACATACCAGGGATACCTCTCAGTAGGTAAACAAAGAAATGCCACAGAAGAACAAAAACAATACTTCAATATCCTTCGAAGACCTCTTTGGTCAGTGCATATTATGTCTCAAAATAACATCTTCATGCCAACATTTTCAAAACATCTCAGGGATGTTTGTGCTTGCTGGGAACGGTCGTGTAATACCGATTATGGAATAAAATACAGGGTGTTCCATTTGAAAATTGAAAGTTGATGTCAGGAAGATGAAAAATATTTGCTAAAATGTGAGAAAATACCATCTAGTGAGCATATTCGATATTCCAAATTTCAGAAATACAGCTAGAAAACCAGGGGAGAAAGGGGAGGTGAGATAAATCCTACGATTCGAGTGGTTCAAGGCTAACTATCGCAACATACAACTAGTTGTGCATTTTTATTTTCCACACACAGTTGTGCATATCTTATTTTTGCTTCCACGAGCTGTACTTTCGAATAATGGTTACAATTAACCACACAAATACTTCCGAATTCACTTCAAACTAGTCAACTTCAACTCTTGGATCAAAGAATGGAGTTAGGTCAATGGATCTACTTACGTTTCACCTATAGATGACGGAATTCTGTTGTAGCCAAAACAGTTTATTGTATTAAGCCTGTCTGATTTTGTAGCTCAATTCATCCAGATATATCAAGATAATTTATGAATATGCCAGCGAGCACAAACATCCCTGGGATGTTTTGGGATGTTTTGAAAATGTTGGCATGACGATGTTATTTTGAGATGTAATATGCACTGACCAAAGAGGTCTTTGAAGGATATTGAAGTATTGTTTTTGTTCTTCTGTTGCATATCTTTGTTTGCCTACTGAGAGGTATCCCTGTGATGTTTTGGGATGTTTTCGAAATGTAGGCATGAGGATGGTTTTTTGAGGCGTGATATGCACTTTCCAAAGAGGTCTTAGAAGGATATTGAAAGTATTGTTTTTGTTCTTTTGTACCCTTTCTTTGTTTGCCCCACCACAACGTCTCATGCTTACGTCACAATACGATGAATTCTGATTTGTTTTCGATTTTGTTCTTCTTGTTCGCAATTGGCATTCGCGTTTGCAGAGTGTCACGCTTACATCACGCTGCTGACGAACAGAAAGGAATTTGGTGAAGTTTATTGTGTTAGAAGACTTATTTAGTTTGTAATAATCAGATGCAAGATGTGTTGTTCGGTGCCTCAGTGTAATCAATATATAAAAGTACGAATTCATCGATACATCACAGCTTCTCCGCAGTTGCAAAATTATGCATTGTGGAGAACATTTCAAAAATTGGGAAACCTATTTCCAATTATATGTCTGTATGTAGTGAGCACTACTCAGAAACCGATTAAGAAGGTAATTTCATATCAAGAAAATATTTTTATGTTCAATATATTTTTAATGCATTTTTTCATTCAAGGGTAATGGGATCCTAATGCAAAAGTTCATTTCGACAAAAGGCTTCAGAAAAGTACCTCGAAAATGTTTTTTTACAGCGATTTAATGTGCGCAAGACGCATTGAAAATGTTCTGTTGTGTCCATGAAAAGGCTTCAAAAAGAACTGGGGAGAAGGTAGTTTTGTGACATATCAAGGACATCTCGATAATTGCCGCCTGCGGCGGACATTGGCTGTTCTATAATAGTTCTATTCATGTATGAACAGAACATCGCAGTGGAGGTTCAATGTCTCGAAATCTCGTACTTTTAACATCTCTGAGATGTTTTTGTGTTCGCTGGGTGATAACCGTATAGGTATGCCTTGAAATTACCATTCTTCGTACAAACCTCTTCAACATCCATCAGGCTTGATCTGGTTGAAAAATATAAGCAAATTCCTATCGTATTTTTGAAATAGATCCGCTACAATGATATATTTGTATGTCCACTATGAACTACACAAAGATTCCAGAACTAACTAGAAACTACTACAACTTATGAATCGAAGATTGAATGGAGTTATGTCAATAGATCTACGTTTCAGCTAAATGTAGCGAACCTTCGTAGTTGAATATTTTATTATACTATCATTAACTCATCATTAACATGTTCCCTCCAATTTTAGTATCGATACGATTGAATCGTCAGGGGTCTGAGTATAACAAATGGGTCCCATTGAGCCTTCAATGTAGCTCAATTCATTCAGATACATCAAGCGAATGCATGAGCATATACCGGGTCTTCAACAATGATTGATTGCCACGTGACCATTTTTGATACGGCGTCTCTTTTCCACACCTTAAAGAGACACGAATGTATTCTTGGTTGAATAGTAATATGTCACGTGGTTTTCAATCATTGTTGAAAACCCATTCAATTATCATTATTTGTACAAACCTTTCCAACATCCAGAAACGATAACCAGAATCACAACCAGCAAATTGATGAGGGTGAACACATTATTTATCCATGAAGATTCTTTGGCACCGCATGCTAGGGCGACTGTGAAAAATAACAAAATCAACCTTAATATAATAACTTGATCCATAGTTTCAACAGGTTGAACATTGACGAAATAAACTGGTGCCGTGCCAAATGAAACGCGAACGCCGAACGCCACCGGGCAAGGAAAGACTCCGAAACGTCGAAGGCCTCGTTGGGTAGAAATGTTGAGATGTGTTAACGTTGGGTCAGGTTCGCACCAGATAGCGGTCAAGCAGCTATCTGGGACAGCCCTGTACTGATGAGAGCCAACAGCTCGAAATCGGTCTGCAGGTAGTTACGCGTTCCTGAACCACTTAGGCGCAGCTCGGCGTTTAGGAGGGAAACACTTGCGATTTTATTCGTCTTTACGAATCATTGCATAGATTCCGGGAGGATGTAATGTTCTGCGTGGCATATAGCCAGGAAAGTAGTTGTTCTTCTCTCGTTATCAACCATTTTCGTTCATTTTATGAACTTTTGTGGTAATGACTTTGAGTTTCTCTTAATTTATAACCATTGTATTCCACTTTGAGTATTTGGCTTTTTCCTTGTTGGAAACTGTTTTATATTTTGAATAAAAAGAAATGCAAAGTAATACCTTCCTCCTATCCCTATCCTCCCTAGGAACGCACGATGTTCTTTGAACATTATAGGGATTCCCTCTCGTGCGCTCCAAGCGATAAAAAAATATCAGTTGATCAAGTAGTATGAGTTCGAATTTGATGTATTTGTTTAATGGATAGGGAGACATAGAAAAAATGAAGACTCGGTTGATTTGAAACTTACCGGAAAAAAGTATAGCTAGGCTAAGTGAAAATAGATCTGCGTACGTTGAAATTTGATTACCACTGAGAGGAATATTTTCTTCGAAAAACTCGGTCATAGTTTTGTTCGCCAGCTGATCGACGTACAAAAAAATTGCTTTTGTGCTTGCAGCTGAACCTGAAAAACAAAAACGATTCATGAATGAAATGGATATTGTAGGTAGTACATTTTAAAATGAAGGAATCAAAATAAAATGTGGGGCAAAGTTGAAAACTTTTAATATTTCGATCAAATTTTCTGATGATGAAATCTCTTGTTGAATTGAAAATCTGATACACTCACCGGCAAAATAATCGATCCACTCAAAATATTGATAAAATTTGATCAGCAATAACTTCGTTAATTCATGTCTGATTCGTTCAATTTTTTTTTTCATTCCGCAGGTAAATTCATAAAGAATCACACACAATGTTTAGATTTTAAGAATTGAGGCATATCTTCAACTCATACAGAGTGACAAAAAAAATGCATTTTTACTTCAATTTTAAAACAATCCCTGGAGTGGCTAATCTGGTACATCCTGTAATTTTTCAGTCAATCATCAAGCTACGTTTATTACGAACATTTTCTTTCTTTATTTGTTAGGATAACTGCATTTTTGTGGAAGTTACAAGGGCTTCAGAAGGACGTTACATTTCAACATTTTTTTCTATGGTAATAACAAGGTTCCCCAAGACATTTTTTGCATAGCTGGCTGTGACAGACCTGTCAGTTGACAAATTGTATGCTTGTGGTAATCATCGGATGGTTGAATAAGATATGGATCTTTCTGCAACCGACTCTGCGAGAGCTATTGCTGTGGTGCAGGATGGTAGATCACAATATTATGTGGCCAGAGCTTTGGGAGTTTCAAGATCCAGGGTGCAAAGAGCTTTGAAACGGTTTCGTGAATTTGGTGTATTCACAAGAAAAGGTAATAGTGGTCGGAAAAAAATCTACGAATGATCGAGATAACCGCTTCATAACGCTCAAAGTTTTGAGGGACAGAAGACTTCTGTCCAATTGAAAAACGAATTAGAGAAGGTGAGGCAAGTTCAAGTCAGAGATAGAACAATAAGAAGGAGGCTTTTCGATATTGGACTCCGAGCAAGAAGACCTGCAACTGGTCCAGAGTTATTGAGGAATCATCGAGTTAATCGCTTCAGATATGCTAGGGAACACGAATATTGGGGTGATGAACAATGGAGCAATATCCTAATCACCGACGAGTCAAGGTTTTGTCTCAGATCACCGGATGGACGTGAAAGAATTTACAGAAGAACTGGAGAACGTTTTCTCCAGAACCATTTTTCGTAACTCATTACGGAGGCGGTTCGATAATGGTGTGGGGTGGCGTGAGTTTTGAAGCTAAGACCGACTTGGTCATAGTGGAAAGGGATCCATGACAGCTAAGAGACATTTTAGAACCACATGTTGTTCCATTTGCGCCGTTCATCGGAGACGATTTTATGCTTATGCATGACAATGCCCGACCGCATGTTGCAAGGATTGTGAATGAGTATTTAGCCGATGTTGAACTCGACATAATTTTTGTTTTCGGTTGAATAACCGACAAAAGTTATGACTTGACTCCTATGTATGATTACCTTCGGACATTTCCCTATACAACCCAGATAGCACAAATACCTTTTGAGGCCCTTCTGAGGCGTTCACAATAATGTCCTCAGGACGTCGAGGGCGAGGATGATGACGTCCCTAGACCGTCCTCCTGTTACCGTTCTCTACATCCTATTAACGTCTTAGAACATCCCTATAAGATCTTCTGAGACATGTATAGGACGTTATGGAAACATCTTTAGGTAGTATTGAAAAATGTCTAGGCGATAGGTTCATGAAAATTAAATTTTATTGAAAAAATATGGATATCATGATATTTGAGAAATTTCCCTGGAATAATGATATGTTCAAATAAAAAAGTTACATTCTATTATTCATAACTTATTGTAAAGATTCTCGAGTTTCGTTTTGAAAAAATGTATTTCAGCTTCTTGTTGAGCACTACTAGAAGTTATTGCCCATTGGCAATATTTCTCTATGTTGTTTTCGATTTTTCAATTCTGGATGCTGAATCTACTGAAAGTTGATCATACAATATTTTATAGATGACACCAAGTTGATTCAGGAAGGTACCTATCTTTATTGAATCCACTGAGAGTTAAAGCCTTCATACAATGTTTGATAGATTCCGAAGAAGTCAAAATATCGTGGAATTAAACATCTCTGCTCTATTGATATAATCAAGTTTGTGTTCTCATCAATAAACCTCCTGAAATAAAATAATATATTTAATATTTCATATCCAGTACCTACTATGAGTAATAACCTCACTTCTAATATTTCTAGTTATTCTTCTTCCTTTCGGCTTCGTTGACACGTTATTTCATGGAATGTCATCTGAAGACATCCGTAGGCACGAAATCCGTTGCAGCCTCAGGCTGTCACTGAAATAACTTTTCTAGGACTATTACGGCGCTAAATTTACGCCTGATGATGTTCTTGATGGGTTGTAGAAAATATAACGTCCTCTCTAGGCGTTTGGCGACACATTGAGGATGACCACAGGCGATTGTGTGCTATCTGGGAAGGAACAACAATGCCAGAGGACGAACGGGGAAATATGGAGACTGTATAGTACCATCCTGCCAGCGATGCTTTGTATAGTGCATGATTTCGAGTGAATTCGGAGAGTGGAAGGATTCTGTCGCCGGGGCCCGATTCTCGAATCCGTTGGAATTCGTTTCCATGGGAAAAACTCGATATTTTCCATGGAAATTTGAGATGATGTATTCTTGAACTATTGTATGGAAAACTATTCCTACATATTTCAAGGGAACTGCTTCCCATGGTAGTACCCACGGGAAAACCATGTTTCCCATAGGATACACTTATGAAAAACGAAGTTATTCTCATTTGTGATGGGCACTGAAACCTGAGTGAAACCTTGTGAAAAATCGGAAAAAACATATGTATTGCAAAACATGGCAAACATAGATGAAATAGCTCTTCTAGAGGCTTTTGCCTAGAAGGGATCCATTTGAGTGATTGTTTGCTGCACAATTCATTAAAGTTTTTCGTTTTTCCAAAGACATTACTAGAAAATTGATAGGTACTTTAGAGTCCTTGAAAGTGAATTGGGGCTGAAAGTTTCCTTTCCTCAAGTCCTCAGAGGCCTCCATTATTCCTATCAAAATTGTTGTCTGCTCTTTGCTAATACTACCGCACCACGTGGTTTTTTGATATTGTTTGTATTCATATCCATTTCGAGCAGAGGAAATATAGTAAATATACAATACACAATAATCTGACAGTCGCAAAATACTACAATGTAGCCATCTTAATTATACTATAACCTCAAAAGTCAAAATCAGTCAAAATCAAAATGTCTGCATTTCAGTTTAATCATCCACCAGTTATCAAGATAAATTCCACTTATTTCATTGGTGAATTCATGTAAGTTCAAGAATTTATATCTGCAACATACGGCACTTCTTCTATCTCCTGGGAAAGGGTACGAGGGCAATGAAGAGGCAGACTCGCTTGCCCGAGCAGGAGCAAACAAAGCTCTTAACGGCCCAGATTCCTTCTGTGGTATTGCGAATGCTATACAAAAGACTAGTATCAAATCATGGATGCAAACTGAATCTCAAGAATGGTGGAACAACTCGCCTGGAATGAGACAGGCAAAAGAGTTTATTAAAAAACCATCGCCAACATTCACAGAATATCTACTAAGCTAGAAACGAAGTTCAACTAGAATACTAGTGGGACTTCTCACAGGGCATTGTAGGCTCAACAAACACATGAGTACGATAGGTCTGACTGAAGAACTGCTTTGCAGGTTCTGTCAAGAAGAGGAAGAAACAGCAGTACACATACTTTGCCACTGTGAGGGCTTGTCAAGACTAAGGTTCCTTACGCTGGGTGAGGAAAAACCAGGAGCCCAGAGATACACAGGAGATCTGAAAGCTAGCCTATGGAGTCTCATAGAGAAGGCGGGGCTAGCCAAAGAACTCCAATCCATTTTGAGGGCAGATAGCCCGAAGGCCCCATTCCAAATCCAAATCCAATCTCCTGGGAAAAACGATTCTATTTGGTTCAAGAATAGGTGTCATGACAAATTATCATTTCCTATGAGAACTGAAAGCATTGGGTCATTCCCCTATGGGATCAAATTCCTACAGATTCGAGAATCGGGCCCCTGGTGTGTGATGAGAACTCGACCACCCTGCCGATTGATCGACGGATGTCCCGTTAGCTCGATTGGCAGAGCGTTGGGCATGTAACCCAGAGGTTGTGAGTTCGACTCTCACACGGGGCGATTCAGTTTTTTCATTTTCCGTTGCCACTCGAAATTAGGGCTTTCCATCTTCATCATCATATACACTGTGTCCAAGATAAGGATGTCTACCATGGGGATCTCGGAAACCATAAGAGATACGAAGATGGTTGGAGATGGTGACCTACCTACGTATTCAAATAAAGTTTTCAAATCCACAATAATGTGATTTCAATACAATATTTTGAAACACGAGTAATAATAGCATACTACACCATACTCAGCGCCGTCATTTCACCGCCTACTACACCAAAACGTTCGAAATAACTATTTTTTTCTGTTTTTCTGATCAAAATATTGCAGAATTATCATGTGTCATACATCGTTGTATTCGTAAAAAATATGCTATATTATACAGGGTATACTTTTTTTACGGGCCATATGAAAAAATAAAATTGATGATGGTTTCTCCGAAACGAAACGTTGTACGGAAAATCTCTCAACGCTATTTTGTAGAGCTCAAAAAGTGGCAATGAGAAAGTGTCTTTTGGTTTCCTAGCAATCTTTAAATAACGTCAGAAAAAAATGAAAACAAAATCGGCATATTTCGGTTTTTCAGCCATATCTCCGGAAATACTCGGCATTTTGAAAATTTTCAAACGTCATGATGTTATGCTCAAAAACGCGCAACTTTTCTCTAATTCAACCATCTTTGTATCTCTTATGGTTTCCGAGATCCCCATGATAGACATTCTTATCTTGGACACAGTGTATAATTTTATTTCTACTCGAAGTTTAAAAATTTCAATCGAAAATGTATATGAACTGACGCTTCTTGATTTTTGCCTTCAACTCGCAAACATGTAAAGCTAAAATCAGTGTTGATAGGGGAGTCATAAAAAAACGACTTATTCATCAAAAAATATCCTTTCCTCTTCCATTTATTATTCGAAAAAATATATAATTTGTTTCTTTAACTCACCTATGAGGTATTCCAAGATCAAATTCCACCCTATTACAAACGCAAAAAATTCTCCTATGCACACATAACTGTACACATAAGCTGAGCCAGCTTTTGGCACTCTCGCCCCAAATTCAGCATAACATAAACCTGGAAAAAGAACAGAATTCTCAGGCTCTTGCATGATAATATTGAAGGAGGTTCTTCCACGGTTTATTTTGAGCCTGAAATTTTTTATAAACCTGTGTTCTCACTTGCATGATTCTTAGAATAATATCATGATTAAATTCAGATACTCCTAGAATAATAATTATTCAATAGTTACTATGCAGTAATCATACGCAGGATGCTGTTTGTACAAATTATTATAATTATTTCTCATGTTCAATTATCAATATGTACAGTGTGTCCAGTTTTCGATGCTTTTGCATGATATCTCAGTTATCTTTGGAGATAGAACCTTGCGGTTTCGCGGTCCTGTGCCACTTTTTTGTGAAATTCAAGATGGCCCAATCAGATTTTGCAGGACTGTTTCCGTTTATGAGATACAGGGCGATTTTGAAAATTTATACTTTTTGGACCCCCTCTATATCTACGAAGTTCATCAGCGAAAATGTCAAATTACAATCTTAACCCATAGAGAATTTCATGCAGAATCCAGTGGCGCACAGATTTTTTTTTTCGGGGTGTGGTTTTGAAGATACGACTCAAACTTATGATTTTTTAAATTGAACACCCTGTATTTTATAAGCTCATTAAATTTCTTATTTTTTCCCTTCGAAATGATATATGATGTATGAATATAACATTTTCAAAAATGTCCAAAATTCACTAAAACATTGAATTTCAATAGTGGGCTATGGGTTTTTCGAGGAATTTTCATATAAAGAAATTTACAATTGAAGGAATATTTCCTTTGATTGTTCCATGAAGGGGGAAATAACAATTTCAACACTAATTAACTTGCAATACACAAGACTTAGATACCTGATATCCACAAATATATTTTATAGTAATAAAAAGTTTATAATATAGAATAAGCACCTGATTGAATATTTACTAAAACAATTGAATTTCGAAATTATTCAGTGATTTATTTATTGAATTGTTCAAATTGATGTCCATTTTCTATCACAAACTTTCTCAATACATATTGATCATTGAAATATGTCTTTGTAATTCCTGGAAAACTGCCTCTGTTGTTGCACAAAGTTCTTCAAGTATGTTGGGCCACTCACTGTATTAAGAAGTATTAAGAAAGTTTGTCAACTGTATGTTGAGGAAAATGGATATCAATTTGAACATGTCAATGAACAAGCTACTGAATAATTCCGGAATTCAATTATTTTAGTAAATATTTAATCAGGTGCTTATTCTTCATTATGAACTTTTTATTACTATTTATTTGTTGCTATCAGGTACCCAAGTTAAGTGTTTTGCTAATTTATAAGTGTTGATATTGGTTCTGACTTCTCCATGGAAAAATTTGAAGAAATATTTCTTCAATTTGAACGTTTTTTATTAGAAAAATCCATGACCAACTATCAAAATTCAATATTTCAGTAATTTAGAGCAATTTTGAAAATTTTATATTCATTCGTTATATATCATTTTGAAGACAAAAAAATAAGGAATTTAATGAGCTTATGAAATACAGGGTGTACCATTTGAAAAATCATAAGTTTTAGTCGCATCTCCAAAACCATACCCCGAAAAAAAAAATTTAAGTGCGCCACTGGATTATGCGTGAAATTCTCTATGCGATAAGATTTTGATATGACATTTTTGTTGAGAAACTTCGTGGATATAGAGGGGGTCCAAAAAGTATAAATTTTTAAAATCGCCCTGTATCTCATGAACGGAAATAGCAAAATCTGATTAGGCCACCTTGAGATTCACAAAAAAGTGGCACAGGACCGCGAAAACCGCAAGGTTCTATCTCCAAAGATAAGTGAGATATCAGGCAAAAGCATCGAAAACTGGACACACTGTACTTGACATAAGGGGAAACCCCATAGAGATACACAAATATATACTTACATATAAATACATAGATAAAAAGAGTTTTAGTTGTCACCGTCTACATATAATTATAATTCGCATCATTTCTGATATAGATAACATATTGAGAAATATTTCTAGAATTGATCAACACCTCAAAACTCATTGAAATTATTATCATTGTGAAAATGAAAAATAATATCGTATCAAATGTCAACTCGATACATGAAGTAATCTTTCATGACATCCTTGAGCTCATTTGTTTCAGATTCCTACTTATGGTTTGGAAGTTCATTGAAAAATTCTGGAGCAGAATGGTGTGGAGCATTTCTAGATTCATCATGTAGACAGTAAAAGACGGATGGCACCATTATATCGAAATACACACCGCGCGGTGTATATTTTGATACACACCATTTCGGGATTAAATGTAGTTCAAATGGCGTTAGTTAATTCATCACGTAATTGAGGGGTTATTCCTTTTTTAGCCCAATGAAAAACACTGGATACTCAATGAATAATTTTGCTATTCAACTAATTGGGCGAGTTGACTGGTGGCATTCAATTTCTTCACTGTATCGTTAGGGGAAATTAATTTTTGCGCGTTTTGATGTAAATAATGTGTCTATGGGTTATTCGAAGTTTTTGACTTTTAGAGCTCATTTCGAACGTACCGTCATGGCCGCCAATCGGCCATGTTCTTCGATATGTCGGATATTATGCTGACGTCAGTTCTTATGCTTGACTTGAAAATAACAGTTTTTCAGAAAAGGAAATATATCGTTGAAAGCTATTTAAATGAGTTACAAAATAAGGCACACACAGGTGTTACACCGAGGTGTATGTTTACATCTAGAATCTACATGTAGAAATATCTATATCGACCATGTATGTATGATATATAGTGTGTCCCACTTACCATGCTCACCATGGGTATCTTTTTAACGGTGAGAGATACGAGGTCGGTTAAATGACACCAAATGTGGAGTTTGAAAAAATATTTTGATAAAATCTATTCGTTTTTGTTTTATACGCAAAAAACAGATTTCGATCATTTTCATGTCGCCTCCTTAACTTCTTTATTTATGAAAATATTCAAATAGGAATTTCACATTCTCATTGCAGTTTTTCAAAGTGATTTCGGAAAAAAATATGAAATTTATACCAACTCTTCTAGAATTTGAGATATCAGCACCAAATTTAGTTATTCAAATGTAGGTCATAGCTCACTATGACTTAGTTACAAATAACTTTTTTTTCTCTCACAGATGATATGTCGCAGTAATAGCTTTGTGTTGATAACAACGGAGTTATCGTCATTTAAACAAGAACAAAAAATTATTCGGAAGCCGCCATCTTGAATTTATAAATTTTAACCAAAAAATCATGATCTCCGACCTCAAAAACCCCCACTTACCAATTTTGAATGGAATCGGACCAAATCTTGTCCGCCATCTTGGAGCAGCCATTTTTGTTTATTTCAACAAAAAATCCATAACTCCGATAAACTTGAAATTTGGCAGGTGTTCATAATTTCGGTGACAATACATTATGGAATTTTTGTTGAAATTAAAAAAAATGGCTTCTCCAAGATGGCGGACAAGATGTGGTCCGATTCCATTCAAAATTGGTAAGTGGGGGTTTTTAAGGTCGGAGATCATGATTTTTTTGTTAAAATTTATGAATTCATTATGGCGGCTTCCAAATGATTTTTTGTTTTTGTATAGATGATGATAACTCCGTTGTTATCAACACAAAACTATCACTGCGACATATCATCTGTGAGAGAAAAAAAAGTTATTTGTAACTAAGTCATAGTGAGCTATGACCTACATTTGAAAAACTAAAGTTGGTGCTGATATCTCAAATATTTGAAGAGTTGGTATAAATTTCATATTTTTTTCGAAATCACTTTGAAAAACTGCCATGAGAATGTGGAATTCCTATTTGAATATGTTCATAAATAAAGAAGTTTCGGAGGAGACATGAAAATGATCAAAATCTGTTTTTCGCGTATAAAACAAAAACGAATAGATTTTATCAAAATATTTTGTCACATTATAGTTGGCCTTGATAAACTCCACATTTGGTGTCATTTAACCGACCTCGTATCTCTCACCGTTGAAAAGATACTCATGGTGAGCATGGTAAGATAGTAATAATCTCGTATTTCATTGGGAATTATGGTTTCCTGTAATATCAGATTTTTGGTAAAGTATGACCCTACTTCCGTGACCCGTGTATTCACCTGCCAATATGGATGCCAGGGCAGCGACGAAAAAGGAAATGATCACAGCAGGGCCGGCCGTGTGCTTGGCGACATCTCCCGCCAACACGTATACCCCCACTCCGAGCGTGCTCCCCACTCCCAAAGCTGTCAAATCGAAGGTGGTCAACACCTTGGCCAACTTGGAATTCTGCAGTGTGGATTCCTCCACTATCTTCTTCCTTGTTAGGGCCCCCTTGGCCTCGGACCACGTCGGAAGCTTGAGGCGCATGTTCTCAGGAGCACCTAAAATAGTACCTTGCTACCTTTACAAGAAATCATATTACCGTTATACATATTCGAATAGAAGCAGCACCTTAAAATCCTATGATAGCAATAACGACTTTGCTGAAAGTAAATTCCCTGCCACAGGAAGGTATACTGCTGTCGCTATCAGGCAGCCACCCTGGGACAGCATGATTTTTTTTTATAATTGTCTAGCTGAACTACTATTATTGAGTTATATGCTTGTGGCTGTGAGGTTCATCGCATAGAACTGCACTCACCACCAATAATACAACTGTCAGTCTGCCACGAAAACGAACATACTTGGGATTATTTAGCGCCTATTTATCGTTATCCGATATTTTGCTGATTTGTCCCCCTCAATATAAGCATTTGTCAGACATCTTGCTTGATCAATCATTCACAGTTGATAAGCTCTTGATGCAAACCTATATACAGAACGACAATCTCGAAGACACGACAGTTACGAATACTTCCCCTCTTGAATTCAATTCATTATTTAAAATCTGAATCTGAATTCAAATATAAAATGGAAAAATTTTCAAACAAATAGAAAAATCTTCTGTGTCCCTTTTTTTCGGGGTATTTCGACTGAAATTCGAATATTTTACATTCAACATTTCCTTCTTTTTGGTACCATGAAACTTTAAAATTGTAAAATATGGTTCAGGGCTTCCCTATAGAACGTGATCTAAAAACATGTTGTGAGCAAGAATGTTCAGGTTATGAAATTATTCGAATGATTTTACTGGTAACATTTTGTTTTCCTGTATGCATCTGTTATAACTTGCCTAGTTTTCGAAATCATTGTTTTCAGAAAGTTTCAGAAAAATTCTTTTTTCCAATAATTTCTCAAAAACCTTTTGTTTTTCCTGAGGGTGCATGAATCTATTGATCGATTGAATTTCAGAGATCAATGGTGCGAAATTTTATTTAGGAATCAATTCATTGCTATTCATACAAAACATTCAGGGTGGAAATTATGGGAAGTGAAACTGGATATCAGTCAAAATTTCACCTTTCTTGATGACAACAATCCTGGAAAATAACTGAATAACTACAGCAAGAAGGTCATGCAACTATCTATACCTACCACTTACCAGCATTTTTTTTATGTTCTGGTTTCCACGAAAAGGGATATTCTGTAATGTTCAGAGAACATCGTGAGAACCAAGGGAAATAAGGTAGGAATTGGTGTTCTTCTTAAATTTCTGAACGTTTATATGCCACGGAGAACACCTGTCTTGTCAATGTGTTCCAGAGCCTCGCTGTTCGTTGGATGAACGAGTCTTTGGAAAGAGATGTTCTGTAGTTCTCCAAAGTAACCACGAAGGGGTGCGAAGCCTCAACTCGACGGGTTAATCTCGCGGGAACTGCCAAGGGAGGAACAATTGTTGATATTTCAGAAGAGCATCGTCCATGAAAAAATCTATAAAATAGAGCCAGATCGCCAACTTTTCAACGGTGTCCCAGAGAAGTGAGTGAGTTTGTTAGCGAGGCATCACCCACGAGACGAATCGCCCTTTTTGGACAGAATCCAACAGTTTTCGGGGATGTTTGGGTGCTGCACTCCAAATATGGGAACAGTATTCCAGGATAGGTCGGATCTGTGCCTTATAGATCATAAGCAGCTGACTGGAAGTGAAATAGTTCCAGGCCCGGAACAGAAAACCAAGTTCTTGGGATGCATTCCCTCCTGCTTAGTTGTAGGAGGTTGTATGATTGGCGTTTGCATGGTCCCGCGATATGGGGCCGTGACTGCCTCATTTCCCCACCATCTGCCCAAGACCTCTGGAATTGTTGTCATAGCAGGTCATCCAGAGCCTTCAGGCCGACGCATCGGGGGATTCCTACTATGGGTTCGGGCCCGAAGGGGCGCTCTGAGGCACCTTGTCTTGGTTAGAGTCACTGGATAGTATTAGACATACAATCCAGTGACTCTAGTCTTGGTAGGGCATCGGCGCTTTCATTTCCCTCGATGCCCTTGTTTCCTGGTATTGAATTGAGGGCCAACATGCATTCGAGTGTTTAATTTTGAGATTAGTCTTGGAGATCCCAGGGCTTTATTCAGAGCCGCTTGGCTGTCCGAACAAATCGAGATGAGCTTGTTGGTGTAAGCCCTTCTCTGAATTTCTTGTAAACAGATCTATATGGCCTGTATTTTCCCTTGGAAGAAATGCTCTCCATGTACAGCATTCACATGTACAAAATTTAGTTATTTCAACACAGAGGGTTTAGAAATTTTTCCGAAAAATTGGGTAGCCTACTCGATTCAGGCATAGCTGAAACACTTCCATACAAAATTTCATCGCAGTACCTCGTATAAGGTATTTCAAATAGGACGGATATTCACTTTCCAAGAACTTTCTCATAATATTTTCTATCCTCAGACTATCCTCAGAACATATGAATATGAAGATCATCCTGAGAATGATCTAAGAATATTCTCAGTATAAAGGGTATCTGAAAACGCATAAAAAATATTTCAGGGATCGATATAGGAGGAAAATATGTCCATAACTGAATTCTCCAAAAGTTACCAAATATAACTATTTATTTCACACACTCTGAAAACATCACCCAAATACTGTTACAGTCCAAACATCCATACACGGAGCATGGATGCTTATGAATATCACGATGTGTTTAAGCATATTCATTTTCAGAAAATAATTGAAGAAAATAGCGATAAATCTCAATTCATATTAAACCCCATTGATATCGCAAATGAGCATATGACAAATTAAATCAAAATCAGCGAAATAAATTTCGAATTATCAATAAAAAATCGATTTTTTCTGGAAAATTTGACTCCTTGTGTCACCAAAAAGAAAGCAAATCAGAGAACATTTGTTTATAGGAACCCCAACTTTTCTCTTCCTAGAGTATCTAAATAATACATTCCATGAACATACCTAGAATATTGGAACAATACATTCTATAATCATTCCTCAATAAGATTCCTAGAACATAATGGAATATTCAAGGAAAGTTCCTAGGATATTTAGATAAAATGTATGAATATTCTCGTAAAACATTCATGAACATTTCAAACATCACCAACCAGGCGGATGGCCCGTCTCTAGCTGGAATCTAAAAGTATCGACGTATGTTTGGGCAATAAACCCCATATGTGGGAGCAGTATTCCCAAACAAGACAATAATTGAAAATGAAAATGTTAGAGAGAAGTGACATAATCAGTAAAAAAGTTCGGAAAAAAATGTAGCATTTAATATAACGACATCTATATTTCAAATTTCGAAACACACTACCTGTTGGTAGTTCTGACAGGGATTTGTGGTGTTAGTTCAGTTCCTTCTTCATATCAATGATCTGTTGGGAGTAACAGCTTGCCCCATCCACAGCTTTGCCACAGTAGTAAGCTCTCTACTGTGGCTTTGCAGATGATAGTATCCTCCATACCGCGTTCTCTTCCAGAATTCCCATTTCTTCCCAGGAAACTAAGAACTCACGGCGTAGGCAGGTCAATGCTGTCAATGAAGACCTTGCTGAAATCACAGCCTGGGGAACCAACAACCTAGTTGAATTCAACGCCACCAAAACTCAAGCCTGTATTTTCTCTAGAAAGGCAGAACCCAGTATGCCCGATATTGTAATGTCTGGCTCCACCATTAACACCAAGCCCACCATAACTATGCTCGATATTTCCATCAGCAATACTCTTTCATGGGATAATCATGTCAGATCCATCGCAAAAGCTGCTTCACAAAAACTCGGATTCTTGTTCCATGCGAAAAGCTACTTTTCACCTCAACAGCTTCTCATGATCTACAAAGCGCAGATACGGCCTGTTCTAGAATACTGTTCCCACATATGGGGTTCAGCACCAAAACATACGCTGATGCTCTTAGATTCCATCCAGAGAAGAGCCATTCGCCTGGTGAGTGACGCCACACTCACTCACTCTCTGACATCATTGGAACACCGTAGAAAGGTCGGCGACCTTTCACTTTTCTATCGATACTTCCACGGGAAATGTTCTTCGGAAATCTCTGCTATTATCCCTTCACTAGCAATAAGTCAGACGAACTAGACAAGCCCAGTCAGCAAATCCTTTCGTTGTCAACTTCGAAAGGTGTCGAACAGCACTTTATCAAAACTCCTTCATCCATAGAACGGCCATAGGCTCTGGAATTCATTGCCTGAGGAAGTATTCCCAACAACACACAATCTCCAGAAGTTCGAAAAAAACTCCAATACCTACCTCCTGTCCCTATCGTCCCTAGGAAGACACGATGTTCTTTGAACATTTTAGGGATTTCCTTTCGTGCGCTCCAAGCGATAAAAAAAATAGATTTTTCTGAATATGTATGCGATTTTTTATATGTGAACCTTGTTTGTACGATGAATATTGGAAATGTTACACCAGAAGATCTGATGCTGATGAATTTCGTTGCCTGACTTAATGAAAAGCTGCACAATCATATCGGATTCACTCACCTAAAATCTTTATCAACTCCTCCATACTGGATCAACAATAATTAATGATACCAATAATTCTGACACCAAACTCAACTAAACATAAACATACACCAGCCAATATTAGTGGAAACCTGACCATGGCTTGCTGAACTCAGTGTCTACCAAATAATTGTCTGAATTTTAGTATCAATTGAATCTAATTGAAATAATCTATCAAGACATAACATTGATAATTCATTGACACTGGGACCGTCTTTTTTTGTATTTCGCGCAATCTACTGTACTGTAGTGTACTGATATTTAGCAAACAAGTTAGAAATCGAGATCTCTAAGCATATACCTATTTTTATCGCTCAGTGACTTATTTTTACATTTGATGCATCTGAACTGATCCAATTATGTATATAGGCTAAAATATACGATGCTATAGGTTATATTTTGCATCAGCTATCCAGTGGAAGATACGTAATCGTTCTTTCGTCACTCCTCAAGCAGTTACGATGTCTGAGTCGAGGTCTGAGGAGTCGCTTTCCAATTGAAAA